CTGTTTTTACTGGAATAATGCTCTAATGAAATAACAGGGTCCGACTGTTTTTACTGGAATAATGCTCTAATGAAATAACAGGGTCCGACTGTTTTTACTGGAATAATGCTCTAATGAAATAACAGGGTTCGACTGTTTTTACTGGAATAATGCTCTAATGAAATAACAGGGTGCGACTGTTTTTACTGGAATAATGCTCTAATGAAATAACAGGGTCCGACTGTTTTTACTGGAATAATGCTCTAATGAAATAACAGGGTCCGACTGTTTTTACTGGAATAATGCTCTAATGAAATAACAGGGTCCGACTGTTTTTACTGGAATAATGCTCTAATGAAATAACAGGGTCCGACTGTTTTTACTGGAATAATGCTCTAATGAAATAACAGGGTTTCGACTGTTTTTACTGGAATATTGCTCTAATGAAATAACAGGGGTTCGACTGTTTTTACTGGAATAATGCTCTAATGAAATAACAGGGTTTCGACTGTTTTTACTGGAATATTGCTCTAATGAAATAACAGGGGTTCGACTGTTTTTACTGGAATAATGCTCTAATGAAATAACAGGGTCCGACTGTTTTTACTGGAATAATGCTCTAATGAAATAACAGGGTCCGACTGTTTTTACTGGAATAATGCTCTAATGAAATAACAGGGTCCGACTGTTTTTACTGGAATAATGCTCTAATGAAATAACAGGGTTCGACTGTTTTTACTGGAATAATGCTCTAATGAAATAACAGGGTCCGACTGTTTTTACTGGAATAATGCTCTAATGAAATAACAGGGTCCGACTGTTTTTACTGGAATAATGCTCTAATGAAATAACAGGGTTTCGACTGTTTTTACTGGAATAATGCTCTAATGAAATAACAGGGTTTCGACTGTTTTTACTGGAATATTGCTCTAATGAAATAACAGGGGTTCGACTGTTTTTACTGGAATAATGCTCTAATGAAATAACAGGGTCCGACTGTTTTTACTGGAATAATGCTCTAATGAAATAACAGGGTCCGACTGTTTTTACTGGAATAATGCTCTAATGAAATAACAGGGTCCGACTGTTTTTACTGGAATAATGCTCTAATGAAATAACAGGGTTCGACTGTTTTTACTGGAATAATGCTCTAATGAAATAACAGGGGTCCGACTGTTTTTACTGGAATAATGCTCTAATGAAATAACAGGGTCCGACTGTTTTTACTGGAATAATGCTCTAATGAAATAACAGGGTCCGACTGTTTTTACTGGAATAATGCTCTAATGAAATAACAGGGTTCGACTGTTTTTACTGGAATAATGCTCTAATGAAATAACAGGGTCCGACTGTTTTTACTGGAATAATGCTCTAATGAAATAACAGGGTCCGACTGTTTTTACTGGAATAATGCTCTAATGAAATAACAGGGTTTCGACTGTTTTTACTGGAATAATGCTCTAATGAAATAACAGGGTTTCGACTGTTTTTACTGGAATATTGCTCTAATGAAATAACAGGGGTTCGACTGTTTTTACTGGAATAATGCTCTAATGAAATAACAGGGTCCGACTGTTTTTACTGGAATAATGCTCTAATGAAATAACAGGGTTTCGACTGTTTTTACTGGAATAATGCTCTAATGAAATAACAGGGTTTCGACTGTTTTTACTGGAATATTGCTCTAATGAAATAACAGGGGTTCGACTGTTTTTACTGGAATAATGCTCTAATGAAATAACAGGGTCCGACTGTTTTTACTGGAATAATGCTCTAATGAAATAACAGGGTTTCGACTGTTTTTACTGGAATATTGCTCTAATGAAATAACAGGGTCCGACTGTTTTTACTGGAATAATGCTCTAATGAAATAACAGGGTCCGACTGTTTTTACTGGAATAATGCTCTAATGAAATAACAGGGTTTCGACTGTTTTTACTGGAATAATGCTCTAATGAAATAACAGGGTTTCGACTGTTTTTACTGGAATATTGCTCTAATGAAATAACAGGGGTTCGACTGTTTTTACTGGGATAATGCTCTAATGAAATAACAGGGTCCGACTGTTTTTACTGGAATAATGCTCTAATGAAATAACAGGGTTTCGACTGTTTTTGCTGGAATAATGCTCTAATGAAATAACAGGGTTTCGACTGTTTTTACTGGAATATTGCTCTAATGAAATAACAGGGGTTCGACTGTTTTTACTGGAATAATGCTCTAATGAAATAACAGGGTTCGACTGTTTTTACTGGAATAATGCTCTAATGAAATAACAGGGTCCGACTGTTTTTACTGGAATAATGCTCTAATGAAATAACAGGGTTTCGACTGTTTTTACTGGAATATTGCTCTAATGAAATAACAGGGGTTCGACTGTTTTTACTGGAATAATGCTCTAATGAAATAACAGGGTTCGACTGTTTTTACTGGAATAATGCTCTAATGAAATAACAGGGTCCGACTGTTTTTACTGGAATAATGCTCTAATGAAATAACAGGGTTCGACTGTTTTTACTGGAATAATGCTCTAATGAAATAACAGGGTTCGACTGTTTTTACTGGAATAATGCTCTAATGAAATAACAGGGTCCGACTGTTTTTACTGGAATTTTGCTCTAAGCGTTAAAGTGGTGTCCAAACTCATTCACTCACTCCAAGGTTTGATATAGAGCTCGGTAGTTTTATCTTGATTTCAATATAATCTGTTGAATTTGTATGTGTTTACATTGTAAGGCAGTAGTAGTTGGGCAATACACCGATACGTCGGTGGCTCACGATTTTTGACTTCTCAATTAAAGTATCGATCACAATCGCACACTAAGTAAAAAAAATCAATTCTTACTTTAAATGTATCATTTATTAAATGTTACACCAACACTAATTACTAGTGAAAATGAGTTGTGAAAACGTAAATATTTTCATCCATTGCGCCATACATGACACTGCCAACTGTAAATCATCAGTGTGCCAGGTATTTGGCCTTCCTGTCTATGAAAAACATGGCTAACTCGCCACAGATATGAGGCTGAGCACATGCAAGTATCGTGATACGTATCAGCTCGAACAGTTGGTGTATTGCCCCACCCTATGAGGCAGTCGGGACCAGGGAATCTGTTTAAGATATTGGATCTCGATAACAGGATCAGATCGCAGAGGAAAGAAGGGTATTAGTTCAATGAAGTATGAGATAGCTGTATAAAGCTCCAGAAAAAGTTGAATGTCACGCTGAAGACCTCGGTTTGACTCCCGACATAGGTACAATGTGTGAAGCCCATTTCTGGTGTCCCCCGCCGTCATATTGCTGGAATATTGCTAAAAGCGGCGTAAAACCATACTCACTCACTCAATTTTTATGTTATGCGATTATGCTTGTCGTAAGAGGCGATTAGGTGGTCAGGTTCACTAACTTGGTTGATGCATGTCATCGTATCCCAATTGCATGGATCAATTGCATAAGCTGCAATCAGCTTATCGGGGGGATGAGAAAAAGAGAACAAATACTGAAAAAAACCTGTTTTCTCCGTTTTTAAGTAAAAAAAAATTCTAAGTAATTCTAAAAAGTTTAAGAGCATATGTGTATGCATCATGGGCATGGTCAACTCAGCATGTGATAAGTGCGTAGATTCCTGGTTAGAACCATCTTCCTGAGGCAAGGGCGTTAACTGACTGTTAAAGTCCAGTTTCCACCCTTGCCGAACTAGGCTGGAAATTCTGGGCTCGATCGTAGCACCACCAGTGGCTAAAACAAGTTATGTCCCTTCTATCTTCCTCCTATTGACCAATCAGATTCCATCTCTCATATCACTTGCATTTGCTTCAAACCAAACTGTGGCACCAAGTCAAGACAATCTGCTCGATAGTCAAGATCTGTGTTATGAAACAGGTTTTACCCCGAGAAGTGCATTAAATCATGTGAGCACCTTGATTAAAAACATGAAAGAATTTGCAGAATATCTGTCGACGCCCACTTGGCGGTACACATGCTTTGCAAATCCTGCAGTCGACTGAAATCTGCACGTTTAAATCAATGTTGTTTACGAACCAGATGTCTAGTTAGTTACGCGATTTTGATTGGAGTATGCATAGACTCCTTAGTCCAGCCAAAATGTAACTCAATAATTGCAGCCTGGATCAGCAAGGGTGGAAACTGGATTTTTATAGTCAGTTAATTCCCTTGTCTCGGGAAGATGGGATAAAACTGGTCACCAGTAACCTGTGCTGGTTGTAGGAAGCGACTAAGTTGATTGGTGGCCAGGTTTGGTCAAATTAACTTACTTTCATTCATGCCAACTCATTGTCTCTTTGGCTGTGTGATCATTAAGGTTAGAATTGGTCTTCAGCAACCTGTGCTGGTTGTAGGAAGCGACTAACGGGATCGGGCGGTCATGCTTGCTGACTTGGTTGATGCATGTCATATCCTAATTGCCTTGATCGATGGTCATGATGTCAATCACTTGTCTTGTCCAGACTTGATTATTTTCATGACTGCCGTCATATAGCTGTAATATTGCTGAAAGTGTAGACAACAAACAAACAAATGCTGATAAAATGGGTGTGTTAATTCAAATAATGCAACACATCTGTCATCATTATTCCCTGCTTGATTTTGTTTTCCTGTTTCTCATTGTATTTATTTATTGTATTAGTCCTCTGTAAAGGGGCCCGCTTTATGTGTGAATGTGAATTTGTCAGCCGCTGCATTTGGTTTTCTTATCCACTTGCTTATGACATAATTTAGAAACCACATACTCGTATCGGCTCTACCTCCTATGGCTTGTGTACATGATAAGTTGAAATTGTGTTTGGAATTTGATTAAACTTGGTATGCATGATCGCTTTACTATTTTGTAGTACATTCTGTCATAAAGTTCGAAATCTCTTGCTTTTGATTGGTCAATCAGAGGTTTGAAATCACAGTAACCCACTGTTTAAAGAATCCGATAATCGTAAGTAAGTTTTGTTCCCAATTTGCCTGTCTTGAACTTTTAGTTTCAACCTGTGTGTTTCTCCGCCTTCAGCTGACGAACTGCTCGCTCCACGTGACCCAGCAGCTGCATCGCTTCTATCCCAGCAGCCGCACCCCTCTCATCATGTCTCGCAAGTCCGCCCCGGGGATCATCATCGCATCAGGGGTCATCGGCACCAAGATCAAACACAACCCCAACGTGTTCGTGTCCTCCGATGCAGGATACACATGGACGCAGGTACGAAGGATTGATTTTATTCCCCGCCATGAAATGGGAGGGGACGTAAATGAATGGGTGCTGTCCATCCATCCTTCTGTCTGCATAGCTCAAATACCATTTTTTATCATATAATGGGTGGGTTTCTCGGCAGGATAAAGCCAATGGATAAAAACGATATCCGTTGGGGTCATATACGGATAGAGATGCAAATATCAAAGGTCAAGTAGGGACTACTTTCACTGTTGATAAACAAACATGGCGTCGCCCTCGTCATTCGGCGATCGAGTCAGAATTAACCATCGGGAATCGGGAAACTACAGGGATAATTGCTCGGATTTAACTGAAATACACCTTGTCATGGGTGAGAAGGGATTATGATGCACTATCCAGAGTTGCATCCCTTATACATGCCACAAAAAATGACCATGTGTTTTGTATCCCACGTTTCAAGGTTTGCATCAATTTAGGCTTTGCTCCCACCTCAAGCTGACTGTTTGTGATATGACTGAAATATTATTTTAACCCATGCTTGTCGTAAAAGGCGACTAAGCTTGTCGTAAGAGGTGACTAACAGGATCAGGTGGTCATGCTCACTGACTTGATTGATGTATGTCATCATATCCCAATTGTGTAAATCGATGCTCATCACATCAATCACTGGATTGTCTAGTCCAGACTTATTAACAAACCATTATCATTTAGCTGGAATATTGCTGAGTGGCATAAAAAAAAGACAAAACAGAAAAAAACACTGTAAATGTGTATAGGCTTCCTTAAGTTGTATAAAAATGGTCTCTTGGTTGCCCTGGTTACAGGTGTTGCATGGGGAGTACCTGTACACCTTCGCTGACCACGGCGGGATACTGCTGTCAGCCAAACAGTATGATGTCACGGACACCGTGTAGTAAGTCCATAATAGTTCCTAGTATGTGTAGACGGCCTCCGTGGTCAAGTGGTAAAGCGTCCCCAGAGAGCGGAAGGTCCGGGGTTTGATCCCCGGCCGCGTCATACCAAAAACGTTAAAAGATGGTTCTTACCCTGTCTGGCGCTCGGCATAAAGGGGCTAAACAAAGGACTGGTCGGCTCGGAGTCAGTATTCTGTGTCTGAGTGCGGTATTCATGTTAAACTGCGGCATGGTATCTCAGTGAGCTAGTACTATAAATCGGCATCAGTCCGGACTAGTACAAGCAGCCCCACACACACGTGCATGCACGTCGTTATATAAGTGCAATAATCTTGGACGCGACGTTAAACCCAATTTCACCTCACCTCACCTAGCATGTGTAGAGGTCTTCAGCAACCCATGCTTGCCGTAAAAAGCGACGATGCTTGTCGTAAGAGGCGACTAACGGGATCGGGTGGTCAGGCTCACTGACTTGGTTCATGCATGTCATCGGATCCCAGTTGCGTGGATCGATGCTCATGATATCAATCACTGGATTGTCTGGTCCAGACTCTATTATTTACTGTAAGACCACAACAATCGGAGTTATTTTTTCCTGCCACATTTTTAATCGTATAATATGTGTTCATTTAACTTTGGCTACATTTGACAATAATCGCCAACACTTGAAGGGAGGATGTAGATCCTGCTGGGGTCCATGCAGGAAGCTCAAGTACTGTAAGTCCCCATGGTCCCTGACCCGTGAAGATCAGGGGTAGAATAGGTCTTCACCAACCCATGCTTGCCGTAAAGGGTGACTACGCTTGTCGTAAGAGGCGACTAACGGGATCAGGTGGTCAGGCTCGCTGACTTGGTAATGGTAGATACATGTCATCGATCCCAATTGCGTGGATCGATGCTCATGATATTAATCACTGGATTATTTACAGACTGCCGTCATATAGCTGGAATATTGCTGAGTGCGGCGTTAAACAACCAACCAACCAACCCCCCCCCCACCCATGGTCCCTAGCATGGTGATCTACCTTCAGCTGCTGGCAATCTATAGCCCTTTTTTATAATGTATTGTTACATATAGTGATATCTTTTTATGGTTGTATGCTAGTTTTAAATATTAATCTGTGATATTCCAGTTATTGTACTGTCCATCAGGTTTTTATTTATTTATTCTAAATATATGTATTTTTAACATATAACTTCTCGTATCACAGATCGTTGTCATATAGCTGGAATATTGCTGATTGTGGCGTTAAACAAACATGACAAACAAACAAAACAAACAAACAAACAAACATTCTGACTCGGACTCCCAGCAGGTATTGAAGTTGGCCAAGTTTTCTGACGGACGAAACCCGTGAAGATTCCGGGGTAGAATAGGTCTTCACCAACCCATGCTTGCCGTAAAAGGTGATCAGCTTGTCGTAAAAGGCGACTAACGGGATCGGGTGGTCAGGCTCGCTGTCTTGGTTGATGCATGTCATCAATCCCAATTGCATGGATTGATGCTCATGATTCAATCACTGGATTGTCTGGTCCAGACTCGATTATTTACAGACTGCTGTCATATAGCTGGAATATTGCTGAGTGCGGCGTTAAACAACAAACCAACCAACCAACTGACGGGCGAGCCCTAAATGTTTTTGCGCTTGTGGCCTAACTTTGGTTAACGTTGTTGGTGATTCATTGACCGTTATATAGTATGTGGAGAATAAGGCATAACAAACCTGATAGAAAAACGGAGAGGGAATATGTTAAGGGCGAACCATGTGAAGCACGGAGTGTTTTACGTACCTTATGTACGGAGATTGTCTCCTCCAGCTATTCGGTTGACGAAGGCAGCAACTGGATAGCCAAGAAGTTCACGAATACATCCATCCGTATCTACGGCATTCTCACCGAACCAGGGGAGGCAACTACTGTGTTTTCTGTGTTTGGATCGCACACGGGACGTCACAGTTGGCTCATCAGCCAGCTCAACATGACCAATGTTCTGAGTGAGTACGCCGTTAAGATGAAACTGTTTACAAAATGCTTTACCATGTTTACATTTTCATCCAACCCTAAAAAAAATGAAAAGTAGAAAAAAATATAGATCACCATACCTGTGCTCATTTGAAGTACAATAGATTAGAATTGGTCCCCAGTGCAGTGATAGAAACTCACACTTTTAGTCCACTAGTCCTTATAATGATAACACATTGCAAAACCCTAAAAAAGGGTAAATTTCTACTGGTCCTTATGATACCTTAACTATTGGGCAGTTTGGCAAAGACTACAGAACTGTTGCCAATTTCTAACACTGCTGTGCATCTTGTAAGGGTCTGCTAAACTAGATTGTCCCTTGTAACCTGTGCATGTTGTAAGGGTCTGCTAAAATGGATCGTTCCTTGTAGCCTGTGCATGTTGTAAGGGTCTGCTAAAATGGATCGTTCCTTGTAGCCTGTGCATGTTGTAAGGGTCTGCTAAAATGGATCGGTCCCTTGTAACCTGTGCATGTTGTAAGGGTCTGCTAAAATGGATCGTTCCTTGTAGCCTGTGCATGTTGTAAGGGTCTGCTAAAATGGATCGGTCCCTTGTAACCTGTGCATGTTGTAAGGGTCTGCTAAAATGGATCGTTCCTTGTAGCCTGTGCATGTTGTAAGGGTCTGCTAAAATGGATCGGTCCCTTGTAACCTGTGCATGTTGTAAGGGTCTGCTAAAATGGATTGTTCCTTGTAACCTGTGCATGTTGTAAGGGTCTGCTAAAATGGATCGTCCCTTGTAACCTGTCCATGTTGTAAGGGTCTGCTAAAATGGATTGTCCCTTGTAGCCTGTGCATGTTGTAAGTGTCTGCTAAAATGGATCGTTCCTTGTAGCCTGTGCATGTTGTAAGGGTCTGCTAAACTAGATCGTCCTTTGTAACCTGTGCATGTTGTAAGGGTCTGCTAAACTAGATCGTTCCTTGTAACCTGTGCATGTTGTAAGTGTCTGCTAAAATGGATCGTTCCTTGTAACCTGTGCATGTTGTAAGGGTCTGCTAAAATGGATCGTCCCTTGTAACCTGTGCATGTTGTAAGTGTCTGTTAGAATGGATCGTCCCTTGTAACCTGTGCATGTTGTAAGGGTCTGTTAGAATGGATCGTCCCTTGTAACCTGTGCATGTTGTAAGGGTCTGTTAGAATGGATCGTCCCTTGTAACCTGTGCATGTTGTAAGGGTCTGCTAAACTAGATCGTCCCTTGTAACCTGTGCATGTTGTAAGGGTCTGTTAGAATGGATCGTCCCTTGTAACCTGTGCATGTTGTAAGGTCTGCTAAACTAGATCGTCCCTTGTAACTTGTGCATGTTGTAAGGGTCTGCTAAAATGGATCGTCCCTTGTAACCTGTGCATGTTGTAAGGTCTGCTAAAATGGATCGTCCCTTGTAACCTGTGCATGTTGTAAGGGTCTGCTAAAATAGATCGTCCCTTGTAACCTGTGCATGTTGTAAGGGTCTGCTAGAATGGATCGTCCCTTGTAACCTGTGCATGTTGTAAGGGTCTGTTAGAATGGATCGTTCCTTGTAACCTGTGCATGTTGTAAGGTCTGCTAAACTAGATCGTTCCTTGTAACTTGTGCATGTTGTAAGGGTCTGCTAAACGAGATAGTCCCTTGTAACCTGTGCATGTTGTAAGGGTCTGTTAGAATGGATCGTCCCTTGTAACCTGTGCATGTTGTAAGGTCTGCTAAAATGGATCGGTCCCTTGTAGCCTGTGCATGTTGTAAGGGTCTGTTAGAATGGATCGTTCCTTGTAACCTGTGCATGTTGTAAGGGTCTGCTAAAATGGATCGTTCCTTGTAACCTGTGCATGTTGTAAGGGTCTGTTAGAATGGATCGTTCCTTGTAACCTGTGCATGTTGTAAGGGTCTGTTAGAATGGATCGTCCCTTGTAACCTGTGCATGTTGTAAGGGTCTGCTAAAATAGATCGTCCCTTGTAACTTGTGCATGTTGTAAGGGTCTGCTAAACTAGATCGTCCCTTGTAACCTGTGCATGTTGTAAGGGTCTGCTAAACTAGATCGTCCCTTGTAACCTGTGCATGTTGTAAGGGTCTGCTAAAATGGATTGGTCCCTTGTAGCCTGTGCATGTTGTAAGGGTCTGCTAAAATGGATAGTCCCTTGTAACCTGTGCATGTTGTAAGGGTCTGCTAAAATGGATAGTCCCTTGTTACCTGTGCATGTTGTAAGTGTCTGCTAGAATGGATTGGTTGTCAGACTGCGTGTCACTAATCCTTCACAAAAACTCTCGGGGTACTGGTCCAGGTTACTCTCATGCTGATACATCCTTTGTTGTAGAATCGAAGTGTAAAGACGACGCCTACAAGATGTGGTCCTTCACGATGGTCAACGACACCAAGGGCTGCCTGCTTGGCCGCCGCACACAGTACCGCAGGCGGATCAAGCAGACTGTGTGCTACAATGGTTATGACTATGAACAAGAGATCCGCCTCGAGAACTGTCCCTGCACCAGAATGGACTATGAATGGTCAGTACTCTGAATGTCCATGGGGAACCCAAGGAGAATAAATCCCCAATAACGTGAATGTCTGCGGAGAACCCAGACAGAATAGATCCCCAGTACTCTGAATGTCTGTGGAGATCCCAGACAGAATAGATCCTCAGTACTCTGAATGTCTGTGGAGATCCCAGACAGAATAGATCCTCAGTACTCTGAATGTCTGTGGAGATCCCAGACAGAATAGATCCCCTGTACTCTGAATGCCTGCGGAGATCCCAGACAGAATAGATCCCCAGTACTCTGAATGTCTGTGGAGATCCCAGACAGAATAGATCCTCAGTACTCTGAATGTCCTTGGAGATCCCAGACAGAATAGATCCCCAGTACTCTGAATGTCCGTGGAGATCCCAGACAGAATAGATCCTCAGTACTCTGAATGTCCTTGGAGATCCCAGACAGAATAGATCCCCAGTACTCTGAATGTCCGTGGAGATCCCAGACAGAATAGATCCCCAGTACTCTGAATGTCTGTGGAGATCCCAGACAGAATAGATCCTCAGTACTCTGAATGTCCTTGGAGATCCCAGACAGAATAGATCCCCAGTACTCTGAATGTCCGTGGAGATCCCAGACAGAATAGATCCCCAGTACTCTGAATGTCCGTGGAGATCCCAGACAGAATAGATCCCAAGTACTCTGAATGTCTGTGGAGATCCCAGACAGAATAGATCCCAAGTACTCTGAATGTCTGTGGAGATCCCAGACAGAATAGATCCCCAGTACTCTGAATGTCTGTGGAGATCCCAGACAGAATAGATCCCCAGTACTCTGAATGTCTGTGGAGATCCCAGACAGAATAGATCCTCAGTACTCTGAATGTCTGTGGAGATCCCAGACAGAATACGTTACAAGTATCCAGTGCTTGTTCACTATAAAGAAGAAAGAAGAAAGATTTCCCTGCACATTCACCTAACCCTGCCTGTGTTTGTTTCAGTGACTTCGGCTTCATCCAGAGAAACATGTCGTACGACTGCATCCAGGACCAACACGTGAACGCGGCCGACATCCACCATGTGCCCAGCCCTTGCCCTCCAACTACCTACTACCCCTACACCCGCGGGTCTGTACTCACTCACTCACTCACTCACTCACTGCCTCACTCACTCACTCACTGCCTCACTCACTCACTCACTCTCTCACTCTCTGCCTCACTCACTCACTCACTCACTGCCTCACTCACTCACTCACTGCCTCACTCACTCACTGCCTCACTCACTCACTCACTGCCTCACTCACTCACTCACTGCCTCACTCACTCACTCACTCACTCACTCACTGCCTCACTCACTCACTCACTGCCTCACTCACTCACTCACTGCCTCACTCACTCACTCACTCACTCACTCACTGCCTCACTCACTCACTCACTGCCTCACTCACTCACTCACTCACTGCCTCACTCACTCACTCACTGCCTCACTCACTCACTCACTACCTCACTCACTCACTGCCTCACTCACTGCCTCACTCACTCACTCACTCACTGCCTCACTCACTCACTCACTGCCTCACTCACTCACTCACTCACTCACTCACTCACTCACTCACTTTAGTGACATCGCTTTAGTGACATCGCTTTACCAGGGGTTTACCGCCTCCGTGGTAGAACATCCACTGGAGAGAGGAAGGTCCGGGGTTTGATCCCCGGCCTGGTCATACCAAAAGACGTTAAAAAGATGGTACTTGTTGTTACCCTGTCTGGGGCTCGGCATTAAGGGGCTAAAACAAGGACTGGTCGGCTCGGAGTCAGTATACTGTGTCTGAGGGGGGTATTCATGTTAAACTGGTATCTCAGTGAGCTAGTACTATAAATCGGCATCAGTCCGAACTAGAACAAGCAGCCACACAAACACACACACGTACATGCACGTCACTATATAAGTGCAATAATCTTGGTCGCGATGTTAAACCCCATTTCACCTCCCCACCACCTATTGTTTCTTCAGGTACCGGAAGGTCGCTGGGGACACCTGTCGTGACGGGGATGAACACAGATTTGCTCCCCTCAGATATTCCTGCCCTATCAGAGGTAAGTTATTTTGGTACACCTACAGAATACCGCCTGGCTGGACTATATTTTCAAAAAATATTGCCTGAGAACAATTCTGTTATTTTTTTATGAATGGAACTCATTGTTGCTTTCTGTTTCAGAGAGGAAGGAGTTTCTCCTTTTCACAAATAGGTCCTGCATTAACATGATCAACCTTGAAGACAACCACTTCGAAACCATCGTTAGTCAGGGGATTGAGCACGTGACTGCGGTGGAGTTCGACTATGCCCATAACTGTTTGTTCTGGGCCGACATATCGCTGAAAAGAATCAATGTAAGTCACAAGCAACTGTCTGGTGCTGACAGACCAAGGACAGCAGAGCAAATCTGGGATTCGAACCCCGAATCATCGGATCCTGGTTGGGCTCACCGCCATCATATAGTCGTAATATTGCTGAGTGCGGCGTTAAACAACAAACCAACTAAACCAACTAACTGTAAGAACTGATTCGAGGATTGAATGTCAGAGGGAAATGTTTCGTACTTCTTTTTTCTATGGCGCCAGATATTGAAACCATGTTTTTGTTCCAGCACTTGTGCCTGAACGGCAACCAGACTGTGTCGCCGGTGGTTCTGAGAGACTTGTACACCGTGGAGGCACTAGCACTGGACTGGACAGCCCACACCCTGTTCTGGGTGGACTCCGAAAACCACAGCATCTCCGTCGTCCGTACCAATGGACGCTTCAGACGGACTCTGTACAAGGGATCTGACGTGCTGGAACGGCCCCGGGCTCTCGTCCTTGACCCTCATCATGGGTATGTCTTGTCCGATTCTGGGGGGCGGTCGGGTAGCCTAGTGGTTAAAGTGTTTGCTTGTCATGCCGAAGACCTGGGTTTGATTCCCGAAATGGGTACAATGTGTGAAACCAATTTCTGGTGTCCCCCACCGTGATATTGCTGGGATATTGCTAAAAGCGGCGTAAAACCATACTCACTCACTCTCTGAGTGAAGACCTGGTGACACCTCCGTCAGGAGAACGCTGAGCAAACTTTGACCATTCAGTCTAAATGAAGGATATGTGGGGTTTTCAGGTATTATTGTCAGCCTTTATAATTAACATTAACAGGAAGATTAACTTTGTTGTTTGAGATATGGAAATCAGATATTGAGATGTTCGCAGATTTTACCACAGAGGGGTACTGGAGTAAAACATCTGATTGAAATGGAATTGGTCTTGGATAAATATGCCCCAGGGGAAAAAAGTTAGACTCTACCCCTTCTATATGTTCATATATCCCCAACTTAAATGAATTAAGAAATATCTGAATTTTGATGAATGTGATAAACCATCAATACCTTTTAAATCATTGCTGACCTGTGAAGACCCGGATTAGAATAGGTCTTCAGCAACCCATGCTTGCCGTAAAAGGCGACAATGGTTGTCGTAAGAGGCGACCAACGGGATCGGGTCAGCAATCTAACCCCACTCAGCCACCAAGGCTTCCACAAAATGAAAGTCTGACAACTGTTGAACTAGATCACGTACTTTGTGTACCCCTCTGACAAGTGTAAATTGTCACGGCTTCCATGGCACAACAGTAGCTCCTACTTCTTGTAAGAACTGAGGCCCGTGAAGATTCCGGAGTAGGATAGGTCTTCAGCAACCCATGCTTGTCGTAAAAGGCAACTATGCTTGTCATAAGAGGCGACTAACGGGATCGGGTGGTCAGGCTCGCTGACTTGGTTGAAGCCTGTCATCGATCCCAATTGCGTGATCGATGCTTATGATATCAATCACTGGATTGTCTTGTCCAGACTCGATTATTTACAGACCACCGTCACATAGCTGGAATACTGCTGAGTGCGGCGTTAAACAACAAACCAATCAACCATTGTCAAGTGCAGCATGTAAGATGTTTGTTTGGATCCACCAGATACATGTACTGGACTGACTGGTCTTACTCCAACCCCCGGATCGCCCGAGCCTGGATGGACGGCACGAACACGTCTGTACAGACCATTGTCAATGGCTCCAATGTGCGCTGGCCCAACGGCCTGGCCATTGACTTGCCCTCGGAGCAGCTGTTCTGGACTGATGCTGGTCTCCACAAACTGTTTGTGTCTGACCTGGAGGGCCAGAACATCCGCACGCTGGTTCGGGGGATGCTGAATGCCCCTCATCCTTTCTCCATTGCGGTCTACAAGGTGAGGAAAGCAAAAGAATTGGTTCTCAGGCATTTTTTTTTTATCCCCCGCCCAACAAAGTTGGCGGGGGATATAGAAACGGGCTCTGTCCGTCCATCCATCACGATTCGTTTCCGGAGCATAACTCAGAAATCGTTCAATATTTTTTCATCAAACTTTGTAGGTCTGTCAAGTTCATGCTGAACTGGTGCCTTTTGCTACTGGTGACTTAGGTTCCAAACTCTTTTTTTTACAATTTCCATGACTAGTTTCACCTCGGTTAAAAAAGGTTAGGGTTTGTTTAGATTTAATTATGTCATAAATTCTGCAACAGGGGCGGGGGATATAGCCACGTTAGTGGCAAACTCTTGTTGTTTTTTTGGTGTGTTTTTTGCTTTTTTGTGGCTTGTTCAAACTGGTATGTTACCAAATAAACATTTGTGTGCCATCAACCTGGGAAAGGGCCTCCCTACATAACCAAGAATACAAACTCCAATTGCCGCCATTACCACTACACAAGAAGCATAGCAAATCAGTGTGCAAGGGAAGTACAGCGTGCTCTACTGTATTGCATTGTTTTTATGTATTGGATTTTTGTATTCTTTTGAAAAATGGAAATAAAAACGAAACATGCAGCAGACTTTCTGAGAACCAAGACTATTATTTTTTTAACCTTAGAGCCAATTTTGGCAATATAGTGCGTGGTTTAAAGGGTTCAACTCCCTAATACCACAGCGGTAGAAACTAAGATTTTAGTCCACTATTTCTTATGATGATAACATATAGCAAAACCCTCAAAATGGAAAATATCTACTGGTCCTTATGATACCTTAACTTTTGGGCAGTTTGGCAAGGACTACAGGACAAGTGCCAATTTCTAACGCTGTACCACGTCTAACCCAACTCCCTATTATTCCAGAACAACATCTACTGGGCGGACTGGTCCAGGGACGCAGTGTTGACGGCAGACAAGGAGCATGGCTGGGGGCTCACTGCGGTGAGAGGGTCCTTGCCTTCCAACATCCTGGACCTGAAGGTCGTCTCCCACACCTCTCAGCAAGGTGAGCTAAGTCAGTTCTTTCTCAGCAAGGTGAGCTAAGTCAGTTCTCTCTCAGCAAGGTGAACTAACTCCCCACCACTTCAGTCAGTTCTCTCTCAGCTAGGTGAGCTATCTCCCCACAGCTTTTAGTCAATTCTCTCTCAGCTAGGTGAACTATCTCCCCACCACTTCAGTCAATTCTCTCTCAGCAAGGTGAGCTATCCCCCACCACTTCAGTCAGTTCTCTCAGCAAGGTGAGCTATTTCCCCACAACTTTTAGTCACTTCTCTCTCAGCTAGGTGAGCTATCTCCCCACCACTTCAGTCAATTCTCTCTCAGCGAGGTGAGCTATCCCCCCATCACTTCAGTCAGTTCTCTCTCAGCAAGGTGAGCTATTTCCCCACAACTTTTAGTCAATTCTCTCTCAGCAAGATGAGCTATCCCCCCACCACTTCAGTCAGTTCTCTCTCAGCAAGGTGAGCTATCTCCCCACAACCTTTGGTCAATTCTCTCTCAGCTTGGCGAACTAACTCCCCACCACTTCAGTCAGTTCTCTCTCAGCAAGGTGAGCTATCTCCCCACAACTTTTGGTCAATTCTCTCTCATAAGCATAACTCCCCTCCACTTCAGTCAGTTCTCTATCAGCTAGGTGAACTAACTCCCCACCACTTCAGTCAGTTCTCTCTCAGCAAGGTGAGCTATCTACGAAACACTTTTCATCAATTCTGTCTCAGCAAGGTGAGCTATCTCCCCTTCACTTCAGTCAGTTCTCTCTCAGCAAGGTGAGCTAACTCCCCACCACTTCAGCTTGCCGTAAAAGGTGACTTTGCTTGTCGTAAGAGGCATGTCATCATATGCCAATTGCATGGATTGACGTTCATGATGTCAATCTCTGGATTGCCTGGTCCCGACTCGATTATTTACAGACCGCCGTCATATAGCTGGAATATTGCTGAGTGCGGCGTTAAACAACAAACAAACACACTAACAAACAAACAAGCAAACAAACTTTCCCAACGTGAAACTTCTGAACTGCTGCTCTCTCAAACTTAAGGAATTACTGAACTACATTGAGTGAGTGAGTGAGTGAGTTGGGTTTAACGCCGCTTTTAACAGTATTCAAGTTATATCGCAGCATGTCAGCTTAATGTGGGAGGAAAGCCCGAAGTGATGCAGGTCTCTGACGTTTACCACTTCGGTGAAACCCACGAGTACGGGTATGGTGCTGACAAACCTAGAAACATAATCGGGGCGAACCGGGATTCAAACCCACAATCATAAGTTTCTGGCGTGCCCAAGGGACACAACTCTGCACAGCGAATTACGGCGCCTTAGACAAATGGGCCACCCATGCCCCACTGAACTACAGAGTAATTGCAAACCTAGGACATAGGCGGAGTCTATCTTTCCCCCCCCACACACACCTACTTCTTTCTGAACACTTAACAAACATATTGGTGAATGAACGGTTCTATTCCTGCAGCCAACAGCGCCTGCACACTGAACAGCTGCACCCAGCTGTGCATGCCACGCCCCCCTCCAGCTGACCACAAGTCTCACCACAACCGGACGTGCAAGTGTGGGGACGGCGTGTCCCACTCCCTCACCTCCAGCGGGGACGAGCAGTGCAAGTGTGAGTCGGGCGAGGTGAACAACCAGGGCATCTGTAGCCACAACTCCACCAGTGAGTACAGCTTCCGGTTGATGTGGTGCATTCTCCGTATCCAGAGGACTGCATCTCTTTGTATAGCATAAAACTTGTCAGAGGGATTTAATGGGATTTAAAACCAAAACCCAAGGGATAAAACTGAGGGGTGTTAGTCTCATTAAACCACGTGGGTAATTGTTTTATCTAACTTATAACTTATGCAAAATAAATTTCTAAGAGATAAGGGCCCCGCTCTAATAGGCGCCCACGGCGATATTTGCTAATATATAGGCGAGTGAACAATCCCAATTAGCACCCCTTCCGACTGATCAATGTACACAAGACTTATTTATTCGCATATAATACGCACTCGTGTGTTATATGCAACCTTAATTATGGGCAATTAAATTCTGGAAAAATATATCTGTCGTATATAAACATTTCAGGCTGTCGGCATAAACCACGAAATTTATCTTTCAACTCTATTTTTTTTCACCAAAATAATATTCTAATAAGAGCCCACACTTTCTAATTTTGAGAGCGCCCTGGGCGCTTATTACGTGGAATACGGTATCTGTATTTACCCAATACTCTATATTTCTAGCTACCTGTTCTGCGGATAGATTCAAGTGTCGAAACTCCCGATGTATCCCCCTCATCTGGCAGTGTGATAACGACAACGACTGCACCGATGGCAGCGATGAAGTAGATTGTCGTAAGTGATCCATATCTTGCTGAGGTAGATTGTCGTAAGCATTTGATATCAGGTGGATTGTCGTAAGTGCTACTTTCTACCTTAAGTTTATTGCCAAAAGTGCTACTTTCTACCTTAAGTTTGTTGTCGTAAGTGCTTCTTTCTAACTTAAGTTTATTCTGTAAGTGCTACTTTCGACCTTAAGTTTGTTGCGATAAGTGCTACTTTCTACTTGAAGTTTGTTGCCGTAAGTGCTACTTTCTACCTTAAGTTTATTGTCATAAGTGCTACTTTTTACCTTGATTTTGTTGTCGTAAGTGCTACTTTCTAACTTAAGTTTGATTCCATAAGTGCTTCTTTCTACCTGAAGTTTAAGTTTGGGCAGAGTGTTTCGGTGTCCCTTGCTGTGTTAGTGATAGAATTGGTAAAAGCATTGTGAAACCTCTTCATTCTCATCTTCAGCCTATGCGACGTGTGCGGAGAACAGTTTCCAGTGCACAAATGGACAGTGTATTCCTGAGAGATGGAAGTGTGACTACGACAATGATTGTGGGGACAGTTCTGACGAGCGCAACTGTAGTAAGTGTTTGTAGTTCAAACAGTTATCTTCTGATGAATTATGACAAGCATCAATCTACAGGAACTTCTTTGGGCTGTGACTGTCGTAAGTCATATATTTAACAACAGAATTCATATAATCAATTGGGAAGTTAGGCAGTTTAGATTTAAGTCCCTGTGCCAAAAAGTGAACATGGTGCTACATCTGTTGTGCTGTGCTGGTTCATAACGAGGGAGTGGGTGGGTAGGAGAAGAGGAGGGAGTGGGAGAGGGAAAGTTGAAGTGAGGAGGGAGGGAGTGGGTGGGTAGGAGAAGAGGAGGGAGTGGGGAGAGGGAAAGTTGAAGTGAGGAGGGAGGGAGTGGGTGGGTAGGAGAAGAGGAGGGAGTGAGGAGAGGGAAAGTTGAAGTGAGGAGTTAGGGAGTGGGTGGGTAGGAGAAGAGGAGGGAGTGGGGAGAGGGAAAGTTGAAGTGAGGAGTTAGGGAGTGGGTGGGTAGGAGAAGAGGAGGGAGTGGGAGAGGGAAAGTTGAAGTGAGGAGGGAGGGAGTGGGTGGGTAGGAGAAGAGGAGGGAGTGGGGAGAGGGAAAGTTGAAGTGAGGAGTTAGGGAGTGGGTGGGTAGGAGAAGAGGAGGGAGTGAGGAGAGGGAAAGTTGAAGTGAGGAGGGAGGGAGTGGGTGGGTAGGAGAAGAGGAGGGAGTGGGTAGAGGGAAAGTTGAAGTGAGGAGGGAGGGAGAGGGTGGGTAGGAGAAGAGGAGGGAATGAGGAGAGGGAAAGTTGAAGTGAGGAGGGAGGGAGTGGGTGGGTAGGAGAAGAGGAGGGAGTGGGGAGAGGGAAAGTTGAAGTGAGGAGGGAGGGAGTGGGTGGGTAGGAGAAGAGGAGGGAGTGGGGAGAGGGAAAGTTGAAGTGAGGAGGGAGGGAGTGGGTGGGTAGGAGAAGAGGAGGGAGTGGGGAGAGGGAAAGTTGAAGTGAGGAGGGAGGGAGTGGGTGGGTAGGAGAAGAGGAGGGAGTGAGGAGAGGGAAAGTTGAAGTGAGGAGGGAGGGAGTGGGTGGGTAGGAGAAGAGGAGGGAGTGAGGAGAGGGAAAGTTGAAGTGAGGAGGGAGGGAGTGGGTGGGTAGGAGAAGAGGGGGCAGTGGGGAGAGGGAAAGTTGAAGTGAGGAGGGAGGGAGTGGGTGGGTAGGAGAAGAGGAGGGAGTGGGGAGAGGGAAAGTTGAAGTGAGGAGGGAGGGAGTGGGTGGGTAGGAGAATAGGGGGCAGTGGGGAGAGGGAAAGTTGAAGTGAGGAGGGAGGGAGTGGGTGGGTAGGAGAAGAGGGGGCAGTGGGGAGAGGGAAAGTTGAAGTGAGGAGGGAGGGAGTGGGTGGGTAGGAGAAGAGGAGGGAGTGGGGAGAGGGAAAGTTGAAGTGAGGAGGGAGGGAGTGGGTGGGTAGGAGAAGAGGGGGCAGTGGGGAGAGGGAAAGTTGAAGTGAGGAGGGAGGGAGTGGGTGGGTAGGAGAAGAGGAGTGAGTGGGGAGAGGGAAAGTTGAAGTGAGGAGGGAGGGAGTGGGTGGGTAGGAGAAGAGGGGGCAGTGGGGAGAGGGAAAGTTGAAGTGAGGAGGGAGGGAGAGGGTGGGTAGGAGAAGAGGAGGGAGTGGGAGAGGGAAAGTAGAACTGAGGAGGGAGGGAGTGGGTGGGTAGGAGAAGAGGGGGCAGTGGGGAGAGGGAAAGTTGAAGTGAGGAGGGAGGGAGTGGGTGGGTAGGAGAAGAGGAGGGAGTGGGGAGAGGGAAAGTTGAAGTGAGGAGGGAGGGAGTGGGTGGGTAGGAGAAGAGGAGGAAGTGGGGAGAGGGAAAGTTGAAGTGAGGAGGGAGGGAGTGGGTGGGTAGGAGAAGAGGGGGCAGTGGGTAGAGGGAAAGTTGAAGTGAGGAGTGAGGGAGTGGGTGGGTAGGAGAAGAGGGGGTAGTGGGTGGGTAGGAGAAGAGGGGGGAGTGGGTGGGTAGGAGAAGAGGGGGTAGTGGGTGGGTAGGAGAAGAGGGGGGAGTGGGTGGTTAGGAGAAGAGGGGGAGTGGGTGGGTAGGAGAAGAGGGGGGAGTGGGAAGAGGGAAAGTAGAACTGAGGAGGGAGGGAGTGGGTGGGTAGGAGAAGAGGAGGGAGTGGGTAGAGGGAAAGTTGAAGTGGATGGAGTGGGTAGAGGGAAAGTTGGAAGTGAGGAGGGAGGGAGAGGGTGGGTAGGAGAAGAGGAGGGAGTGAGGAGAGGGAAAGTTGAAGTGAGGAGGGAGGGAGTGGGTGGGTAGGAGAAGAGGGGGCAGTGGGTAGAGGGAAAGTTGAAGTGAGGAGTGAGGGAGTGGGTGGGTAGGAGAAGAGGGGGTAGTGGGTGGGTAGGAGAAGAGGGGGGAGTGGGTGGGTAGGAGAAGAGGGGGGAGTGGGTGGTTAGGAGAAGAGGGGGAGTGGGTGGGTAGGAGAAGAGGGGGGAGTGGGAAGAGGGAAAGTAGAACTGAGGAGGGAGGGAGTGGGTGGGTAGGAGAAGAGGAGGGAGTGGGTAGAGGGAAAGTTGAAGTGGATGGAGTGGGTAGAGGGAAAGTTGGAAGTGAGGAGGGAGGGAGAGGGTGGGTAGGAGAAGAGGAGGGAGTGGGGAGAGGGAAAGTTGAAATGAGGAGGGAGGGAGTGGGTGGGTAGGAGAAGAGGGGGTAGTGGTTGGGTAGGAGAAGAGGGGGGAGTGGGTGGGTAGGAGAAGAGGGGGAGTGGGTGAGTAGGAGAAGAGGGGGGAGTGGGAAGAGGGAAAGTAGAACTGAGGAGGGAGGGAGTGGGTGAGTAGGAGAAGAGGATGGAGGGAGAGGGAAAGTTGAAGTGAGTAGGGGAGTGAGAGGGTGGGTAGAAGAGAGGAATGGGGGGGGGGGGGGGAGGGAAAGTTGAATTAAGGAGGGTGGGTAGAAGAGAGGGGCGGGGGGGGTAGGAGAAGAGGATGGAGGGAGAGGGTGGGTAGAAGAGAGGCGTGGGGGGGGGGAAGTAAAGTTGAACTGAGGAGGGATGGAGAGGGTTGGTAGGAGAAGGAGAGGGGGGAGTAGGGAGTTAAGAGGGAGGGAGAGAGTGTTAAAGATCTTACTCACATAGTACTGTTACGTCACAAAGGGTTTATGATAATGGAAATGGAGGGAGCAATGGTGGGAAGGAGGGAGGGAGCAATGGTGGGAAGGAAGGAGGGAGGGAGCAAGGGAGGGAGGATTCTGAAATTGCCTGCATGTCCAACTGTCACTCTTTCAGAACACACCAACTGCAATGCCAGCCAGTTCCAGTGTCACAACAGACGCTGCATCAGCAAGAAGTGGGTGTGTGACAACGACAATGACTGCCACGACAACTCGGATGAAGTCAACTGTACCACAGTCGGTCAGTATACATTTACCTTGGGGACTTCAAGAAGTGCTGGACCGCCTCCGTGGTCTAGTGGTAGAGCGTCCGCCCGGTTCAATCCCCGGCCGTGTCATACCAAAAGACGTTTAAAGATGGTACTTTTTGTTACCCTGTCTTGCGCTCGGCATTAAGGGGCTGAAACAAGGACTGGTCGGCTCGGAGTCAGTATACTGTGTCTGAGTGGGGTATTCATGTTAAACTGCAGCATGGGATCTCAGTGGGTTAGCACTATTAATTGGCATGAGTCCGGACTAGTACAAGCAGCCACACACACACACACACGTGCATGCATGTCGCTATATAAGTGCAATAATCTTGGACGCGACGTTAAACCCAATTTCACCTCACCTCGAGCAGTGCTGGGGCAGTGGGGAAGCCTAGTGGTTGGAACGATGCTCATCACACCAAAGACCCGGGTTCAATTCCCAACATGGGTACAATGTGTGAAGCCCATTTCTGGTGTCCCCTGCTGTGATTTTGCTGGAATATTGCTAAAGCGGGTTAAAAACTTGCCTGCTGCCATCGGTTATTTTTCTAATGGATACTACACATAGATTATCTTCCATGGACTGTCATGTCTTTTGGCAAATGTCATCAAAGGTCAAGGTCACAATCACGATATAGAAAAATGTGTGTATGTCCATGTTGGCAAATGTCATCAAAGGTCAAGGTCACAATCATGATATAGAAAAATGTGTGTATGTCCATGTTGGCAAATGTCATCAAAGGTCAAGGTCACAATCACGATATAGAAAAATGTATGTCCATGTTGGCAAATGTCATCAAAGGTCAAGGTCACAATCACGATATAGAAAAATGTATGTCCATGTTGGCAAATGTCATCAAAGGTCAAGGTCACAATCACGATATAGAAAAATGTGTGTATGTCCATGTTGGCAAATGTCATCAAAGGTCAAGGTCACAATCACGATATAGAAAAATGTATGTCCATGTTGGCAAATGTCATCAAAGGTCAAGGTCACAATCACGATATAGAAAAATGTATGTCCATGTTGGCAAATGTCATCAAAGGTCAAGGTCACAATCACGATATAGAAAAATGTATGTCAATGTTGGCAAATGTCATCAAAGGTCAAGGTCACAATCATGATATAGAAAAATGAATGTATGTCCATGTTGGCAAATGTCATCAGAGGTCAAGGTCACAATCACGATATAGAAAAATGTGTGTATGTCCATGTTGGCAAATGTCATCAGAGGTCAAGGTCACAATCACGATATGGAAAAATGTGTGTATGTCCATGTTGGCAAATGTCATCAGAGGTCAAGGTCACAATCACGATATAGAAAAATGTATGTCCATGTTGGCAAATGTCATCAGAGGTCAAGGTCACAATCACGATATAGAAAAATGTGTGTATGTCCATGTCACATTTTAAACTTGGTATGGGAGAGTCAGCGTTCAGGTTTTTGTAAAACATGTTTATATCATTGTCTGATTTTGAGGCAGGCTACCTCTTCATCCATGAGGCTCATCTCAGTGTTTGTATACAAGTTGTACCAGATCTAATGAACCCGCCAAGATCCGGGGTAGAATAGGTCTTCAGCAACCCATGCTTGTCGTAAAAGGCGACTATGCTTGTCGTAAGAGGCGACTAACGGGATTGGGTTGTCAGGCTCGCTGACTTGGTTGATGCATGTCATCATGTCTCAGTTGTGTAGATCGATGCTCATGATGTCAATTTCACTGGATTGTCTGGACCAGATTTGATTATTTACAATCCATACTCATATAGCTGAAATATTGCTGAGAGTGGCGTTAAACAACAAACAAAACAAGATGTAAGGTGGACGAAATTATTTCAATTAAGCTTTTGCAAAATAGGGATCCTTGCTATAGTCATGATAGTATTTTGAATATTTGGAGGTCATGTGAGTCCTATGTTTTGACACTGGAACTCAAGTTTTTTATTTGTGTGTCCGGTCAGCCGCTGTTAAACAACAAACAAACAAAACTTGCTCCCTTGATATGTGCTGTCTGACTGTGAGACTTGGCTTCTAGCTCCATGCCAGTGTGGCGTTAAACATCAAACAAACAAAACTTGCTCACTTGATATGTGCTGTCTGATTGTGAGACTTGACCTCCAGCTCCGTGTCAGACCCTTGAAGATTCCGGGGTAGAATAGGTCTTCAGCAACCCATGCTTGTCGTAAAAGGCGACTATGCTTATCGTAAGAGGCGACTAACGGGATTGGGTTGTCAGGCTCGCTGACTTGGTTGATGCATGTCATCGTATCACAATTGCGTGCATTGATGCTCATGATATCAATCACTGGATTGTCTGGTCCAGACTCGATTATTTACAGACGCCGTCATATAGCTGGAATATTGCTGAGTTCGGCGTTAAACTACAAATCAATCAATCAATCCAGCTCCGTGTCAGAGCAGCGTTAAACATCAAACAAACAAAACTTGCTCCCTTGATATGTGCTGTCTGATTGTGAGACTTGACTTCCAGCTCCGTGTCAGAGCAGCGTTAAACATCAAACAAACAAAACTTGCTCCCTTGATATGTGCTGTCTGACTGTGAGACTTGACTTCCAGCTCCGTGTCAGAGCAGCGTTAAACATCAAACAAACAAAACTTGCTCCCTTGATACTTCTGTCTGACTGTGAGACTTGACTTCCAGCTCCGTGTCAGAGCAGCGTTAAACATCAAACAAACAAAACTTGCTCACTTGATAATTCTGTCTGACTGTGAGACTTGACTTCCAGCTCCGTGTCAGTGCAGCGTTAAACAACAAACAAACAAAACTTGCTCCCTTGATATGTGCTGTCTGACTGTGAGACTTGACTTCCAGCTGTGTCAGAGCAGCGTTAAACAACAAACAAACAAAACTTGCTCCCTTGATAATTCTGTCTGACTGTGAGACTTGACTTCCAGCTCCGTGTCAGAGCAGCGTTAAACAACAAACAAACAAAACTTGCTCCCTTGATAATTCTGTCTAACTGTGAGACTTGACTTCCAGCTCCGTGCCAGGCGTGGGAGAGAAGTTGCAGCAGCGGCGAGTGCATCAGCTCACAGGCCCACTGTAACGGGGTGTTCGACTGCCTGGACCACACTGACGAACAGAACTGCACCAGTTTGACCTGCCCCCCCTGGCGCCACCTGTGTGCCTCGGGCAACCAGTGCGTCTTCCTCACCTGGCTATGTGATGGGGAGAAGGACTGCTCTGATGGCAGCGATGAAGACCACTGCACAGGTAAGACTGCTACTACTTGCATACAGATACATATAGAATACTAAACGAGCTCCCATGTAATACCAATTTTATGAAACAAGTGAATAGTTCTGGTATCTGACGAGCTCACCACTCGATGCGAGAAACATGATATTTCATGAGACACATTGAATATGCCCTACATATTTGCTTAAATTTAACTTTCTGCCCTCTTTGTTTGTCTTAAAACTTTAAGGACCCGTGAAGATCCTATGCTTGTCGTAATAGACAACTAATGGGATCGGTGCAAGTCATCAATTCCAATTGTGAGGATCACTGGATTGTCTGGTTCAGACTCGATTATTTCAGACTGCCGGCGTCAAACAACAAACAAAACGTTATAACTTTAAATCTGTCCTCTTATGTGATGAGTGGACTTTTGTGGCCCAGTCGTCTGAGGAGTCGCAATTCGCTGATTGGAGTTGCGTCCCTTGGGCACACCAGAAACCTGTGATCATGGGTTTTGAATCCCTGTTTGCCCCCCTTATGTTTCTAGGTTGGCCAGCACCATACCCGTCCTTGTAAGGTAAACCAAAGTGGTAAACGTCTGAGAGACCTGCGTCACTTCGGGCTTTCCTCCTCTATCAAACTGACACACTGGAATACTAAGTCTGCCCTTCAGGAACCAGGAACTTATTTTAACCATGCCATTACAATTTTGAACATTCATTGTCCATTGGCATTTTAGGAAATGTTCTTTGTAAGTCTTCCCTTCAGGAACCAGGAACTTATTTTAACCATGCCATGACTCAGATACCATGTTATTTTTAACACTGATCTACCTGTCCTGTTTGCAGTAAGCACGACCAGTGTCCCAGTTTCGAGACCCACAACAGCCCCGCCGTCGTGCCATGTGTGGCAGTTCCATTGCAACAACAACTTCTGCATCTGGCATGGGTCCCGATGTGACGGCTTCAACGACTGCGGAGACAACTCGGACGAAGTGGATTGTGGTGAGTGTTAGTGGGTGGACTGGTCAGCCTCAGGGGTGGGTGTATCTAGGATCCTACACCAAGTGCCCTTGGCAGGAACATTAGGAATTATCATTATACCCCGCCATGAAGTGTCTGTCAATCCTTCCATCTGTCACGTTTCATTTCTGGAGAAGAACTAAAAAACCATTAGAGATATCTTTACCAAACTTGGCACATAGACAGGTCTAGTCGTGAACTGTGCCCTTTGATAGTTTGGGATTTTTGAAATATTAATTTTGAGTTTCCGTGGCAACGATTTTGATTTAGACTGAGATGGCGGAGATGCTCCTTTCCGGAGCAGATCTTGAAAACAGTACAATATTCTTGCCTTGATATGAGTATTTCATGCTTGATTTGTTGAAACTAGTTCTTGTTTTCCTCAACTTTATTTTAAAATTGCAGTCAGTGTGCTAATGTAAAACTAAGCGTTAAGGCCATTTCCTTGGCATCTTCCCGAGGCAAGTGTTTCCACTAACCTATATCAAAGCCGAGTTTCTACCCTTGCCACATCAAGGCAACATTTCTTGGCTGGACCCTGGCGCCACCTCGCGGAGATCACGAGTTGTGCCCCCTCGGATCGCTGTTCTTATCTCATATAGCTTTACAAAGAAGGCGCTGCCATTGTAGGCCACAGCCTCGTCGATCAGATAACGAAAACATTCGCGATTTCATCCCCGACACAAATACAAAGGCAATCGTTGGGGGATTTAAAAGATAAAAAAGACATAATCGTGTCGACAAAGACAGGCAGCGGTAAATCACACGAAGGTGTACCAGTCGTGGATGTTGGTTTTGTGAATCGTTTTCTGATTGAACTATCGATATGTGTGATAGTCCAATCATATTTAGCACTGTAAATTCAGCTTGATGTTGCAAGGGTGGAAACAAGACTTTGATAAAAAGACTAGTGGACGCTCTTGCCTCGGGAAGATGCTTTCTTGGTCCTGTTATGAGTGATATACAAGTTATCTCTACAAAACCATAACATTATTTACAATACCGTAGTCGGCATAATAAGCGCCCAGGGCACTCTAAAAATTAGAAAAAGGGGGCTCTTATTATGCTTATTAAAATATAATTTTGGTGAGAAAAAAAATTAGAGTGGAAAGATCGTAAATTTCATGGCCTAAATGATACAAAAGAAAAGTCTATCCCTATTATGCACGACAGATATATTTTCCAGAATTTAATTGCCCATAATTATGGGTGCATATAACACACGAGTGCGTATTATACACGAATAAATAAGTCTTTGATCATTGTACATTGATCAATTGGAAGGGGTGCTAATTGTGATTGTTCACTAGCCACTATATTAGCAAATATCGCAGTGGGCGCTTATTAGAGCGGGGCGCTTATTGCATTGAATACAGTAACTATGTTTACATGAAATGGGAAATTTCCATTCACATTTTAGAATTCACAATCGCTGCAGTCTCCGGGCCTAAAATAGACCCAGACTTTGACCATGCACACCAATTCATTACCTTTACTTTTTCTTGTTAAAACTTGGAAGGATCATGATAGAAAACTTTAAACATTAAATGCAATATGGTCACGATGGCAAGGAGAATATCAAATGGTGAACCCGTTCATCTGGCTGACCATAAGCTGTAACTGAGTGAGGGAGCACGGGTGGCCCAGTCGTCTAAGGCGCCATGATTCACTGTGCAGAGTTGCGTCCCTTGGGCACGCCACAAGCCCATGATTGTGGGTACGAATCCCGGGTCACCCCGATTATGTTTCTAGGTTTGTCAGCACCATACCCGTACTCGTGGATTTCACTGAAGTGGTAAATGTCTGAGATCTGCATCACTTCGGGCTTTCCTCCCACATTAAGCTGACACGCCGCGATATAACTGGAATATTGTTAAAAGCGGTGTTAAACCCAACTCACTCGCTCACTCGGACTTTCCTCCCACATTAAGCTGACACACCGTGATATAACTGGAATACTGTTAAAAGCGGTGTCAAACCCAACTCACTCAGGCTTTCCTCCCACATTAAGCTGACACACCGTGATATAACTGGAATACTGTTAAAAGCGGTGTCAAACCCAACTCACTCACTCACTCACTCAGGCTTTCCTCCCACATTAAGCTGACACGCCATGATATAACTGGAATACTGTTAAAAGCGGCGTCAAACCCAACTCACTCACTCACTCACTCACTCACTCGGGCTTTCCTCCCACCTTAAGCTGACACACCATGAGCTTAATACTGGAATACTGTTAAAAGCGGCATTAAACCCAACTCACTCACTCACTCACTGACTGTAACTGAGAGGATGTTTGATGATGGCAGGGGACCGAGTCAGCACGACGACATCGCCAAGGCCAGGCACCTGCAACTACTATCAGTGGACGTGTAACAGTGGCCAGTGCATCAACGCAGGCCAGCGCTGTGACAACACGACCGACTGCTGGGATGGCAGCGATGAAATCAGCTGTGGTGAGTTCGTTTCTCGTACAATAAAACACTGCAGGGAGCATAAACCAGGGAGCAGACAAACCATGATCATGAGTCCTTTATTTCTTATTGCTCATAGACCCGTCAAGATTCCGGGGTAGAATAGGTCTTCAGCAACCCATGCTTGCCGTAAAAAGTGACTATGCTTGTCGTAAAAGGCGACTAACGGGATCGGGTGGTCAGGCTTGCTGACTTGGTTTGATGCATGCCATCGATCCCAATTGCGTGGATCGATGCCCATGATATCAATCACTGGATTGTCTGGTCCAGACTCGATTATTTTACAGACCGCCGTCATATAGCTGGAATATTGCTCAGTGCAGCGTTAAACAACAAACCAACCAACCAAATTATTGCATATATAACATATCAATATTATGTTCAGCCTCTAAGGATGATGATTAAATGTACAAGCTTTAAAAATATTTTCCCGTATTTACATAATGATGACTCCCTGAATAGAATCCAACCTCGGCAATGTTGGACAAGTCCATATGATGAATAGTGGTGTAAATTTGGTCTTCCGTGCTTATTCTTATAACTTGTACAACAATTATCAGACAGACAGACAGATTTATTTTGTATGTGTGGCCATGAGGCCAATAGTACAATGACATTTTGTCATTTTGTCATATCTCTCCCACTTATGATGCGATTGTTCGGCCATTGCATTTTTCTGTGAACCCCACTAGACACTTCCATCTAAAAAAATAACATGGTCCAATATATGACATCATCAAATTGCGAGCCCATAATCGAATCTCCAGAAATAACGTCATGACAGAACAATCTTTTATCGTGAAATAAACCACGCTTTTTTCTTTGTGTTTTATCACGTAGCTATCTCATATTTTTTCTTTAATCACATACTATAGGGCTTTGACGGGTAACTCGGGACAAGTGGGTCCTGAGTAGGACCGGGATACCCACATGACTACCCAGTCCTGTTAGTCACGTGATATATTGTTTGATGTCAATAACAGTATGACTCCGTAATTAAACTACAAGTTGCTAATGTGAGCATTCCTTCTGACTTGTTTTGGGGCGGTGGGGTAGCCTAGTGGTTAACACGTTCGACAAAGACCCGAGTTCCAGTCCCCACATGGGTACAATGTGTGAAGCCAATTGCTGGTGTCCCCGCCGTGATATTGCTGGAATATTGCTAAAAGCGACGTAAAACTATACTCACTCACTCTGACTTGTTTGATTCAAGAGTAAAGATAAATCTTCAGACAGCTTCAGTATACATCGTGAGATTGTTTTATACGTGTATCTAAATAGTTCTTGCCAGGGCTCTGGTAAAACAATTCCCAATTGGACATTTTGTGCCCAACTCTCGAGACCTACAGTGGATACCCGGGTGGGGTTGGGTATTTTGGGGTCGGGTAATTGGGGGTCGGATACCTGGGGGTTGGGTACCTGGGTGTCGTGTACCTGGGGGGTAAATTTGGTCTCGTCCCAGCCCTATAGCACTCTGCAATAATCAAGCTCTGTGATGGCAGGGTTAGAACATAATCTGAATTGTGCTTTTAGCGGCAGCTTGTTATGATTTTGGGAATGGTTTTGTTGCTTTTAATTATTCGATCCCACTATACACCTTGTCAGCTCCGACTCAGATTTAAACCAGACTGTACCAGGACATGTTATATCACAGCGAGTCAACCGCCTTCGTGGTCTAGTGGTAGAGCGTCCGCCTGGAGAGCAGAAGGTCTGGGGTTCTATCCCCGGCCGCGTCATACCAAAAGACATTAAAAGATGGTACTTGTTGTTACCCTGTCTGGCGCTCGGCATTAAGGGGCTAAAACTAGGACTGGTCGGCTCGGAGTCAGTATACTGTGTCTGAGTGGGGTATTCATGTTAAACTGCAGCCAATGGCAGTGTGTTGTTTTCATTCTTGTTGCTTTGTGTTTCAGAGTCAACGTGTGGCGCCACCGAGTTCCTTTGCTACAAGTCTACCTTACCACCTAACTGCATCAGGAACTCGTGGGTGTGTGACGGCATGAACGACTGCCAGGGCGGGGAGGATGAGAGAAACTGCAGTGAGTATGCTGAACCAACTGGACACTTGAGTTCAATGTTACCAGCACAGCAGCTTAGAGGAACAAATGCACTGCACACATCCCCCGTACAAGGGAGACAATCTCATTAAAATCAGATCTTAGTTCTCGCTACCGCTAAGATCTGAAGACATTCCGTAAGGGGTCACGTCAGAACGACCTTTCATCCAACCAATCAGTGAATCGCTTACCAGATTATGAAAGTGATAGTCGGAATGTCATTTCTAATCATGCAATCTCGAAAACTTTAAAACATGGGGTATTCCGAACGATAGTTACGGGTTTTACAACTGAATCCTTACAATCTAGACCATCTATTAGCCATTCCAGAATGTTTTTTGTTCAGGTTTCAAATTTGTAATCGAGAATTTGTCAAATTGTTTCCAAGCGTAGTCGCAATTTTGAAATTTGTGCCGTAAAGCATGAGAAAGCTGCCTTCTAATTGGTCATTCCATTGGTAGGTCAAAGTTTGTGCAAGGTCGGTCTGACGTGACCCACAATGGGATGTCCTCAGATCTTTGTTTAGCGGAAGCGAGAACTAAGATCTGATTTTAATGAGATTGCAATGGAGATGGATTCTTCTGTAGCGCTTACAACCTTAACAGGGGCGGTCGGGTAGCCTAGTGGTTAAAGCGTTGGCTCGTCACGCCGAAGACCCGGGTTCGATTCCCGACATGGGTACAATGTGTGAAGCCCATTTCTGGTGTCCCCCGCCGTGATATTGCTGGAATATTGCTAAAAGCGGCGTAAAACCATACTCACTCACTCACTCACTACAACCTTAACTGTCCATGTAATAAATATGTGTGAAACGACACATAGGTCACAAGACGATACATATGACAAAACCAGCGTTCGAAATACCTGCCTGCCCGACCGTCCGAGACGGGTTGATTTTAACTCAGGCTGCCAGATTTTTAAATCCCCCTGCCCTACAGTCCGGTTATATATTTCATAGGTGAAAATATTCTAAATATTTCCTGATGATAAGCATTAATTCACATGTAAAGTTGAATGATAAAATGTAACCAAAAAGAAACCCCGTTACCTTTTAGACAACCTAACATTTAGGCCCTATTTAGGAATAAGGATATTTGCATCATGTATTCTAGGATATTAAATACAAATCTGACCTAAAAAGTGTTTGCTATTTCTTTTCTTGCATTACTTCATGTTCAATGAATTCGATTTAAAGTTTTAATTAAATTATCCTGAGAAACATATGATTATAGTGGGCAGGCAGGTTTTGGTCAGGGCGGGCAAGTATTTCAGCTAGCCAGTCCTGTGGTCTGGCTGAAATTTTTGGGAGTTTCATACCCTGACAATACATAGTTCACGATACGATGCGTATCACGATACATAGGTCACAATATGATACTATCACAATACATAGGTCACGATACGATACGTATCACAATACATAGGTCACAATGAGATACGTATCACAATACATAGGTCACGATACGATACGTATCACAATACATAGTTCACGATATGACACATCACGATACATAAGTCACGATATGATACGTATCACATAACACAGGTCACGATATGATACATATCACATTACATATTTACGTCAAATCGCATAGTAACTTCTTGATAATAGCTATTACAAATCAGGTTCAAAAGGAAAAGCTAGCTGTAGATACATGTTCGTATTGACTATTTTTAGTGAACTTGAAATGCTAATTACAACACATTTTCCTGTATCTGAATGATGAAAACACTAGGGGTCATTCAAAAAGTAGAAAGTTATTTTTTTCAGCAAGAGTATCCTCTTGTATCGATACGATATAAATGTATCGTGTATGATATTGTCACATGAGGTGAGGTGAGGTGAAATTGGGTTTAACGTCGCGTCCAAGATTATTGCACTTATATAGCGACGTGCATGCACGTGTATGTGTGTGTGTGTGGCTGCTTGTACTAGTCCGGACTGATGCCCATTTATAGTGCTAGCTCACTGAGATACCATGCCGCAGTTTAACATGAATACCCCACTCAGACACAGTATACTGACTCCGAGCCGACCAGTCCTTGTTTTAGCCCCTTAATGCCGAGCGCCAGACAGGGTAACAACAAGTACAATCTTTTGAACGTCTTTTTGTATGACGCGGCCCGGGATCGAACCCTGGACCTTCCGCTCTCCGGGCGGACGCTCTACCACAAGACCATGGAGGCATTCTATTGTCACATAAAAAATTTCGAACACTGGTGCACAGATGTATCATTTCACCCCCAGTAATAAATTGTGCAGAAAGTGCTTGAAAAACAGTTATGCTTACAATGTTCCTGGTGGCTTTTTAAGCTGCCCGTCATTGTGGACAGCCGTGGTCTTGTGGTAGAGCGTCCGCCCAGAGAGCGGAAGGTCCAGGGTTCGATCCCGGGCCGCATCATACAAAAAGGCGTTAAAAGATTGTACTTGTTGTTACCCTGTCTGGCGCTCGGCATTAAGGGGCTAAAACAAGGACTGGTCGGCTCGGAGTCAGTATACTGTGTCTGAGTGGGGTATTCATGTTAAAACTGCGGCATGGTATCTCAGTGAGCTAGCACTATAAATGGGCATCAGTCCGGACTAGTACAAGCAGTCACATACACGTGCATGCACGTCGCTATATAAGTGCAATAATCTTGGACGTGACGTTAAACACACTTTCACCACCTCACCTTGTGGACAGGCAACTCGATAAATTATCAGTCCCTCCTAAATTTTGTCAGTCCCAACTTTTAACAAATATTAAAAAACATATGAAAATTATTGGGTTTTAATTCTTTCAACGTCATGTTCAGTGCAAACATGTCATGTCTGAAGGAACTTAGTTAGATCTTTATGTCATTCACCAAAACTTCAGTCACAAGTTTCTCTTCTTCTTTTTTAATATTTTGAGACAAAGTCGCCACAAATGGACATTTAACCTAGAAATAGACCAGGGGAAACCCTGATGGTAACAGACAAGCTGACTTTGTTCGAAAAATGTACTTATATGAATATCACTGATGTTTTGTTCAACAACAAAGACATATAAGGTGCTTTATTTCGGACTGGCAGTCACATGAATTACTGGTCCAAGCCTAATTTTACCGGTAAAAAACTTACCGGTAAACGGGAACGCTGTGCTTAAGACTTGTGGAAAGAAAGAAACTGTCTGCCACTTAAAATACATAGTTGCAAGATGGGTTTTATTTGAAATTGGAAAATAATTTTTAGGCTCATATATTGTCGGATCATAGGTTTTCGGACAACATACCTTTTCTGACGGCCATGTTTATGGCGACTACTTGTGCTGTAACGGGGGTATAGCATCACACAGACATTATAAATACTCTGATTATGGCATCTTCTTAAGAGAATGTCTTTTAAATATGAATGAAATGTTTTACAGTTGTTCATGTGATTAGAGAGAACGCAATGAATGTTTCCTCAGCGTCTGAAAACCAATAACATAGGGATAATTAAAAATATATCTGGTTTTGCATCAGTGGCTAAAACAATATCCTAGCTCCATACCAAATCTGGGGGCACGGGTGGCCCAGTCGTCTTAGGCGCATGATTCGCTGTGCAGAGTTGCGTCCCTTGGGCACGCCAGAAACCTATGATTGTGGGGTTGAATCCCGGTTCTCCCCGATTATGTTTCTAGGTTTGTCAGCACCATACCCGTGCTCGTGGGTTTCACCGAAGAAGTAAACGTCTGAGACCTGCATCACTTCGGGCTTTCCTCCCACATTAAGCTGGCACGCCGTGATATGACTGGAATACTGTTAAAAGTGGCGTTAAACCCAACTCACTCACTCACTCACTCACTCACTCACCAATACAAAATCCCAGCCCTTGATGTCACAAGCACTGATGTCAGCCGAGGTATTTTTCACAGCGTCCTGTTTCTCAATTGTTGCAGGTGGGTTGGCGTGCACTCCTGACCATTTCAAGTGTACATACTCCTACGGCTGTATCCCTCAACAGCAAGTGTGTGACGGAACTGTCGACTGTTCGGATAGCTCTGATGAGAGAGGCTGTGATACCAACGCAACAAGTGAGCTCAACAACCTTGTTCTTTAATACACACACACAAGTCTTGCATGTCCCGTGTTTGCAGAGAAAATATTCGTTTTTTTCACATGATCTGCAAACCTTTTGATTTCTCACTCACTCATCCCATTTAGACTGATATATTCACTCATTCATCCCACTAAACTGATATTTTACTCCCTCCCTCCATCCTTCCACTTTAACTGAAATGTTTTTCAATCAATCAATCAATCAATCAATCAATCCATCAATGCATCCTTTCCTCCAGTGAGTCCCATCCCGCCAGGGAACCGTTGCCAGCAGCCTGACAAGTTCTTCCAGTGCCCCCAGGAGGAAACCTGCATCCTTTGGCTGTACGTGTGTGATGGAAAGACCGACTGCATGGACCGGGCCGACGAGAACCTTCCCATGTGTGCCGCAGGTACGTTCTAGGATACAACTGCAACATTTCATTATACAGGACCGCTTCTTGGTCTAGTGGATAGAGCGTCTGTCTGAAGGGCAGAAGGTAGATGGTTCAATCCCTGTCTGTGTCTTACCAAAAGACATGAAGAGGGCTGAAAGGACTGATCAGCTCGGACACAGACACACACTCACAGACACTCACACACAAAGACACTCACACACACCAGACAGACACACATACATACACCACACACACACACACACACACACACATACAACACACAGACACATACATACAACACACATACTCACACCAGACACACACACACACAGACACTCACACACACAGACACACACACACCAGACAGACACACATACATACACCACACACACACACACACACACAGACACACACACACACCAGACACACACACACACACACACACCAGACACACACACATACATACACCACACACACACACACACACACATACAACACACAGACACATACACACACACACACACACACACACACACACACCAGACACACACAGACACACACACACCAGACAGACACACATACATACACCACACACAGACACATACATACAACACACACACTCACACCAGACACATACACACACAGACACACACACACACACACACACAAGACAGACACACATACATACACCACACACACACACATACAACACACAGACACACACACACACCAGACAGACACACATACATACACCACACACACACACACACACACACCCCAGACAGACATACATACATACACCACACAGACGCACACACACACCAGACACACATACACAGATGCACACACACACACACACACACACACTGATGATTTTTTATAAGGGGTCAGATGTTTATCAGTACTTGTCATATCAGTGCTTCATGTATGAGGAGGCAGCTGTTCACCAGTACTTGTTATAACGGTTCTTTATCTATGGGTACCCCAGTGTTTATTAGTACTTGTTAAATAACAGATCTTTATCTATAAAGAGTCAGCTGTTTATAAATACTAACTGTCACTGTGTGGTATCTGTTACAGCAGCCAACCGTTTGTCAGTATCAGCCATTGCTTTGAATGACAGCATCACGGTCACCTGGAATTCCAGAATCAAACCATCATCAGGAACACAGTATATCATCACTTGTCTGTAAGTACCCAGTATATCATCACTTGTCTGTAAGTACAGGCAGGGACCCAGTATATCATCACTTGTCTGTAAGTACCCAGTATATCATCACTTGTCTGTAAATACCCAGTATATCATCACTTGTCTCTAAGTACCCAGTATATCATCACTTGTCTGTAAGTACCCAGTATATCATCACTTGTCTGGAAGTACCCAGTATATCATCACTTGTCTGTAAGTACCCAGTATATCATCCCTTGTCTGTAAGTACCAATTATATCATCACTTGTCTGTAAGTACAGAAACCCAGTATATCATCACTTGTCTGTAAGTACAGAAACCCAGTATATCATCACTTGTCTGTAAGTACAGAAACCCAGTATATCATCACTTGTCTGTAAGTACAGAAACCCAGTATATCATCACTTGTCTGTAAGTACCCAGTATATCATCACTTGTCTGGAAGTACCCAGTATATCATCACTTGTCTGTAAGTACAGAAACCCAGTATATCATCACTTGTCTGTAAGTACAGAAACCCAGTATATCATCACTTGTCTGTAAGTACAGAAACCCAGTATATCATCACTTGCCTGTAAGTACAGGCAGGTACCCAGTATATCATCACTTGTCTGTAAGTACAGAAACCCAGTATATCATCACTTGTCTGTAAGTACAGAAACCCAGTATATCATCACTTGTCTGTAAGTACAGGCAGGTACCCAGTATATCATCACTTGTCTGTAAGTACAGGCAGGGACCCAGTATATCATCACTTGTCTGTAAGTACAGGCAGGTACCCAGTATATCATCACTTGTCTGTAAATACAGGCAGGGACCCAGTGTATCATCACTTGTCTGTAAGTACAGAAACCCAGTATATCATCACTTGTCTGTAAGTACAGAGACCCAGTATATCATCACTTGTCTGTAAGTACAGAAACCCAGTATATCATCACTTGTCTATAAATACAGGCAGGGACCCAGTGTATCATCACTTGTCTGTAAGTACAGGCAGGGACCCAGTATATCATCACTTGTCTGTAAGTACAGGCAGGGACCCAGTATATCATCACTTGTCTGTAAATACAGGCAGGTACCCAGTATATCATCACTTGTCTATAAATACAGGCAGGGACCCAGTGTATCATCACTTGTCTGTAAATACAGGCAGGGACCCAGTGTATCATCACTTGTCTGTAAATACAGGCAGGGACCCAGTGTATCATCACTTGTCTGTAAATACAGGCAGGTACCCAGTATATCATCACTTGTCTGTAAGTACAGGCAGGTACCCAGTATATCATCACTTGTCTGTAAGTACAGAAACCCAGTATATCATCACTTGTCTGTAAGTACAGAAACCCAGTATATCATCACTTGTCTGTAAATACAGGCAGAAACCCAGTATATCATCACTTGTCTGTAAGAACAGGCAGGTACCCAGTATATCATCACTTGTCTGTAAGTACAGGCAGGGACCCAGTGTATCATCACTTGTCTGTAAGTACAGAAACCCAGTATATCATCACTTGTCTGTAAGTACAGGCAGGTACCCAGTATATCATCACTTGTCTGTAAGTACAGAAACCCAGTATATCATCACTTGTCTGTAAGTACAGAAACCCAGTATATCATCACTTGTCTGTAAGTACAGTCAGGTACCCAGTATATCATCACTTGTCTGTAAGTACAGAAACCCAGTATATCATCACTTGTCTGTAAGTACAGTCAGGTACCCAGTATATCATCACTTGTCTGTAAATACAGGCAGGTACCCAGTATATCATCACTTGTCTGTAAGTACAATCATTTGTCTGGATATTATTATTATCTTGAATGCACTGATATCTAAAAGTTACGTCATGGTCCCGCTAGGTTCAACATAACAGGTTTCAACTGTATGTTGAAAGATTATGCAAGGATATCAAAGTCCTAGAACGTGCATAGTTGCGTCCCTTTGGCACGCCAGAAAACCTATGATTGTGGGTTCGAACTCCGGTTCGCCCGATTATGTTTCAAGGTTTGTACCCGTGCTCGTGCTCGTGGGTTTCACCGAGGTGGTAAACGTCTGAGACCTGCATCACTTCGGGCTTTCCTCCCACATTAAGCTGACACGCCGTGATATGACTGGAATACTGTTAAAAGCGTTAAACCCAACTCACTCACTCACTCATGTGGTACATTCTGTGTTCCAGTGACACAACTGACAGTAACAATTGGGTGAATCGCACAGTGGCCGATGTGCAACACTTCACTCTGCAGCACCTGCAGCCTGTCACAACCTACAAAGTGGCCGTAAACCCAACTCACTCACTCACTCACTCACTCACTCACTCACTCACTCATGTGGTACATTCTGTGTTCCAGTGACACAACTGACAGTAACAATTGGGTGAATCGCACAGTGGCCGATGTGCAACACTTCACTCTGCAGCACCTGCAGCCTGTCACAACCTACAAAGTGGCCGTAAACCCAACTCACTCACTCACTCACTCATGTGGTACATTCTGTGTTCCAGTGACACAACTGACAGTAACAATTGGGTGAATCGCACAGTGGCCGATGTGCAACACTTCACTCTGCAGCACCTGCAGCCTGTCACAACCTACAAAGTGGCCGTAAACCCAACTCACTCACTCACTCACTCACTCACTCACTCATGTGGTACATTCTGTGTTCCAGTGACACAACTGACAGTAACAATTGGGTGAATCGCACAGTGGCCGATGTGCAACACTTCACTCTGCAGCACCTGCAGCCTGTCACAACCTACAAAGTGGCCGTAAACCCAACTCACTCACTCACTCACTCACTCACTCACTCACTCACTCATGTGGTACATTCTGTGTTCCAGTGACACAACTGACAGTAACAATTGGGTGAATCGCACAGTGGCCGATGTGCAACACTTCACTCTGCAGCACCTGCAGCCCGTCACAACCTACAAAGTGGCCGTAAACCCAACTCACTCACTCACTCACTCACTCACTCACTCACTCACTCATGTGGTACATTCTGTGTTCCAGTGACACAACTGACAGTAACAATTGGGTGAATCGAACAGTGGCCGATGTGCAACACTTCACTCTGCAGCACCTGCAGCCCGTCACAACCTACAAAGTGGCCGTAAACCCAACTCACTCACTCACTCACTCATGTGGTACATTCTGTGTTCCAGTGACACAACTGACAGTAACAATTGGGTGAATCGCACAGTGGCCGATGTGCAACACTTCACTCTGCAGCACCTGCAGCCTGTCACAACCTACAAAGTGGCCGTAAACCCAACTCACTCACTCACTCACTCATGTGGTACATTCTGTGTTCCAGTGATACAACTGACAGTAACAATTGGGTGAATCGCACAGTGGCCGATGTGCAACACTTCACTCTGCAGCACCTACAGCCCGTCACAACCTACAAAGTGGCCGTAAACCTAACTCACTCACTCACTCACTCACTCACTCACTCACTCACTCACTCACTCACTCACTCACTCACTCATGTGGTACATTCTGTGTTCCAGTGATACAACTGACAGTAACAATTGGGTGAATCGCACAGTGGCCGATGTGCAACACTTCACTCTGCAGCACCTGCAGCCCGTCACAACCTACAAAGTGGCCGTAAACCTAACTCACTCACTCACTCACTCACTCAATCACTCACTCAATCACTCATGTGGTACATTCTGTGTTCCAGCGACACAACTGACAGTAACAATTGGGTGAATCGAACAGTGGCCGATATGCAACACTTCACTCTGCAGCACCTGCAGCCCGTCACAACCTACAAAGTGGCCGTAAACCCAACTCACTCACTCACTCACTCACTCACTCACTCATGTGGTACATTCTGTGTTCCAGTGACACAACTGACAGTAACAATTGGGTGAATCGCACAGTGGCCGATGTGCAACACTTCACTCTGCAGCACCTGCAGCCTGTCACAACCTACAAAGTGGCCGTAAACCCAACTCACTCACTCACTCACTCACTCACTCAATCACTCACTCATGTGGTACATTCTGTGTTCCAGTGACACAACTGACAGTAACAATTGGGTGAATCGCACAGTGGCCGATGTGCAACACTTCACTCTGCAGCACCTGCAGCCTGTCACAACCTACAAAGTGGCCGTAAACCCAACTCACTCACTCACTCACTCACTCACTCACTCACTCACTCACTCACTCATGTGGTACATTCTGTGTTCCAGTGACACAACTGACAGTAACAATTGGGTGAATCGCACAGTGGCCGATGTGCAACACTTCACTCTGCAGCACCTGCAGCCTGTCACAACCTACAAAGTGGCCGTAAACCCAACTCACTCACTCACTCACTCATGTGGTACATTCTGTGTTCCAGTGACACAACTGACAGTAACAATTGGGTGAATCGCACAGTGGCCGATGTGCAACACTTCACTCTGCAGCACCTGCAGCCTGTCACAACCTACAAAGTGGCCGTAAACCCAACTCACTCACTCACTCACTCACTCACTCACTCACTCACTCACTCACTCATGTGGTACATTCTGTGTTCCAGTGACACAACTGACAGTAACAATTGGGTGAATCGCACAGTGGCCGATGTGCAACACTTCACTCTGCAGCACCTGCAGCCTGTCACAACCTACAAAGTGGCCGTAAACCCAACTCACTCACTCACTCACTCACTCACTCACTCATGTGGTACATTCTGTGTTCCAGTGACACAACTGACAGTAACAATTGGGTGAATCGCACAGTGACCGATGTGCAACACTTCACTCTGCAGCACCTGCAGCCTGTCACAACCTACAAAGTGGCCGTAAACCCAACTCACTCACTCACTCACTCACTCACTCACTCATGTGGTACATTCTGTGTTCCAGTGACACAACTGACAGTAACAATTGGGTGAATCGCACAGTGGCCGATGTGCAACACTTCACTCTGCAGCAACTGCAGCCTGTCACAACCTACAAAGTGGCCGTAAACCCAACTCACTCACTCACTCACTCACTCACTCACTCACTCACTCACTCACTCACTCACTCATGTGGTACATTCTGTGTTCCAGTGACACAACTGACAGTAACAATTGGGTGAATCGCACAGTGGCCGATGTGCAACACTTCACTCTGCAGCACCTGCAGCCCGTCACAACCTACAAAGTGGCCGTAAACCCAACTCACTCACTCACTCACTCACTCACTCACTCACTCACTCACTCACTCATGTGGTACATTCTGTGTTCCAGTGACACAACTGACAGTAACAATTGGGTGAATCGCACAGTGGCCGATGTGCAACACTTCACTCTGCAGCAACTGCAGCCTGTCACAACCTACAAAGTGGCCGTAAACCCAACTCACTCACTCACTCACTCACTCACTCACTCACTCACTCATGTGGTACATTCTGTGTTCCAGTGACACAACTGACAGTAACAATTGGGTGAATCGCACAGTGGCCGATGTGCAACACTTCACTCTGCAGCACCTGCAGCCCGTCACAACCTACAAAGTGGCCGTGTACGAGAACGGGAGCGGACACATCCATCACCACTCCAACATTCTCGCGGTCACAACACTGGAAGGAAGTAAGTAAGGGGGGATAACTCTAGCAGGGGAAATAACTCATGGAGAAGAATGGCAGTGTTGTTTTCAGTCTTGTTGATACGGTATCCCCGTTTGGAACTCAAATATTTAATTATGTATAAGGGGCCTTTTTAACATGTTTGCTTAAATTGAACTTTTCTGCCCTCTTTGTTTTCTGAACCAGACATGTCTTGTAACTTCCGGGGCGGTCGAGTAGCCTAGTGGTTACAGCGTTCGCTTGTCATGCCGAAGACAAGGGTTCGATTCCCGACATGGGTACAAATGTGTGAAGCCAAGTCTGGTGTTCCCGCTGTGATATTGCTGGAATATTGCTAAAAGCGGCGTAAAACAACACTCACTCTTTAAGGACCTGTGACGATCCGGGGGAGAATAGGTCTTCAGCAACCCATGCTTGTCGTAAAAGGCCACTATGCTTGTCGTAATAGGCAACTTACGGGATCGGGTGGTCAGGCTCGCTGACTTGGTTGATGCATGTCATTGATCCCAATTGCGTGGATCGATGCTCATGATATCAATCACTAGATTGTTTGTTCCAGATTCGATTTATTTACAGACTGCCATCATATAGCTTGAAAATTGCTGAGTGCTGCGTTAAACAACAAACAAACAAAACTATTTAACTTTAAATCTGTCCTCTTATGTGATGAGGGGGCTTCGGTGGCCCAGTCGTCTGAGAAGCAGCAATTCGCTGTGCTGAGTTGCGTCCCTTGGGCCCACCAGAAACCTATGATCATAGGTTCGAATCCTGGTTCACCCCGATTATGTTTCTAGGCTGTCAGCACCATACCCGTACTCGTAGGTTTCACCAAAGAGGTAAACGTCTGAGACCTGCATCATGTCAGGCTTTCCTCCCACATTAAGCTGACACACCATTACATGACTGGAATACTGTTTAGAGCGGGGTTAAGCCCAACTGACTCTCTCTTTTGTGAGGAAGTCTTATTAAAGGTCAAGGTCCTGCAATGTTGACAAGGCATAAGAAAGCTTGTTTTGAGTATTTGTGATTTGTTTAGGACAAGACTCAATGTTCATGATCTCTGAGGTGAGAATTGTCAAGATCAGCTTACATTTTGGCGACCTCTGTATAATGTCACTCGTCACGATATGGCTGAAATATTGCCGATGTGACATTAAATATTAACTCACTCACTCACTGTATAATGTCAAGGTCACAAGTTGTCACTCAGGACCTGCATCCCTTGAGGCAGACATTCCATGATGTGACTGTAAAACCGAGATGTGGATAAAACTAAACTCACTCAGTCACTACATGTGTTTGTTTTCAGAGCCGGGAGTCCCCACCCACTACGTGTGCCACATGTGGAAGGGGGACAGTCTACAGGTGGTGGTGCAGTGGAAGGCTCCCCACCTCCGCCCACAAGCTGTCTACCAGTACCGGGTAGGTGTACCTATATCTCACACACTCACACACTCACACACTCACACACCTCCGCCCACAAGCTGTCTACCAGTACCGGGTAGGAGTTCCTATATCTCTCACACTCACACACCTCCGCCCACAAGCTGTCTACCAGTACAGGGTAGGTGTACCTATATCTCACACACTCACACACCACAACCAACCACAAGCTGTCTACCAGTACAGGGTAGGTGTACCTATATCTCACACACGCACGCACGCACACACCTCCGCCCACAAGCTGTCTACCACTACAGGGTAGGTGTACCTATATCTCACACACGCACGCACGCACACACCTCCGCCCACAAGCTGTCTACCACTACAGGGTAGGTGTACCTATATCTCACACACGCACGCACGCACACACCTCCGCCCACACCTCCGCCCACAAGCTGTCTACCAGTACAGGGTAGGTGTTCCTATATCTCACACACGCACGCACGCACACACCTCCGCCCACAAGCTGTCTACCAGTACAGGGTAGGTGTACCTATATCTCACACACTCACGCACCCACACACCTCCGCCCACAAGCTGTCTACCAGTACAGGGTAGGTGTACCTATATCTCACACACGCACGCACGCACACACCTCCGCCCACACCTCCGCCCACAAGCTGTCTACCAGTACAGGGTAGGTGTACCTATATCTCACACACTCACACACCTCCGCCCACAAGCTGTCTACCAGTACAGGGTAAGTGTACCTATATCTCACACACGCACGCACGCACACACCTCCGCCCACAAGCTGTCTACCAGTACAGGGTAAGTGTACCTATATCTCACACACTCACACACTCACACACCTCCGCCCATAAGCTGTCTACCAGTACAGGGTAGGTGTACCTATATCTCACGCACGCACGCACACACCTCCGCCCACAAGCTGTCTACCAGTACAGGGTAAGTGTACCTATATCTCACACACGCACGCACGCACACACCTCCGCCCACAAGCTGTCTACCAGTACAGGGTAGGTGTTCCTATATCTCACACACGCACGCACGCACACACCTCCGCCCACAAGCTGTCTACCAGTACAGGGTAGGTGTACCTATATCTCACACACTCACGCACCCACACACCTCCGCCCACAAGCTGTCTACCACTACAGGGTAGGTGTACCTATATCTCACACACGCACGCACGCACACACCTCCGCCCACAAGCTGTCTACCAGTACAGGGTAGGTGTACCTATATCTCACACACGCACGCACGCACACACCTCCGCCCACACCTCCGCCCACAAGCTGTCTACCAGTACAGGGTAGGTGTACCTATATCTCACACACTCACACACCTCCGCCCACAAGCTGTCTACCAGTACAGGGTAAGTGTACCTATATCTCACACACGCACGCACGCACACACCTCCGCCCACAAGCTGTCTACCAGTACAGGGTAAGTGTACCTATATCTCACACACTCACACACTCACACACCTCCGCCCATAAGCTGTCTACCAGTACAGGGTAGGTGTACCTATATCTCACGCACGCACGCACACACCTCCGCCCACAAGCTGTCTACCAGTACAGGGTAAGTGTACCTATATCTCACACACGCACGCACGCACACACCTCCGCCCACAAGCTGTCTACCACTACAGGGTAGGTGTACCTATATCTCACACACGCACGCACGCACACACCTCCGCCCACAAGCTGTCTACCAGTACAGGGTAGGTGTTCCTATATCTCTCACACACACACCACCACCACCGCCCACAAGCTGTCTACCAGTACAGGGTAGGTGTTCCTATATCACACACACACACACACACACACTCACACACCTCCGCCCATAAGCTGTCTACCAGTACAGGGTAGGTGTACCTATATCTCACACACGCACGCACGCACACACCTCCGCCCACACCTCCGCCCACAAGCTGTCTACCAGTACAGGGTAGGTGTACCTATATCTCACACACTCACACACCTCCGCCCGCAAGCTGTCTACCAGTACAGGGTAAGTGTACCTATATCTCACACACGCACGCACGCACGCACACACCTCCGCCCATAAGCTGTCTACCAGTACAGGGTAGGTGTACCTTTATCTCACGCACGCACGCACACACCTCCGCCCACAAGCTGTCTACCAGTACAGGGTAGGTGTACCTATATCTCACACACACACACACACACACACACACACACACACACACACACACACACACACACACACACACACACACACACACACACACACACACACACACACAAGCTGTCTACCAGTACAGGGTAGGTGTACCTATATCTCTCACACACACACACACACACACACACACACACACACACACACACACACACACACACACACACACACACACACACACACACACACCTGATGTATTTACTTACACACACACCTGATGTATTTACCTGTGGGTTAGCTTGTACTCGTGCCAGTTGGCATCCCTGATGTATTTACCTGTGGGTTAGCTTGTACTCATGCCAGTTGGCATCCCTGATGTATTTACTTGTGGGTTAGCTTGTACTCATGCCAGTTGGCATCCCTGATGTATTTACTTGTGGGTTAGCTTGTACTCGTGCCAGTTGGCATCCCTGATGTATTTACCTGTGGGTTAGCTTGTAGTCGTGCCAGTTGGCATCCCTGATGTATTTACCTGTGGGTTAGCTTGTACTCGTGCCAGTTGGCATCCCTGATGTATTTACTTGTGGGTTAGCTTGTACTCATGCCAGTTGGCATCCCTGATGTATTTACTTGTGGGTTAGCTTGTACTCGTGCTAGTTTGATTCATTTCACGATGTAAGACCTGTTTTATCACAATATAGATTTTGATTATCGATCAGATCGCCCTGACTGGGCACCACCATTTTGGGTGAAGCAAACGCAAGTGATACGAGAGGTGGAGTCTCATTGGTCCATAGGAGACACTTAGAGGGGACATAACTGGTAATAGCCACTGGTGGTGCTACGACTGAGCCCAGTAATTCCAGCCAAGTTCGGCAAGGGTGGAAACTGGACTTTTAAAGTCAGTTAACTCTCTTGCTTCGGGAAGGTGGGGTAGGGCTGGGTAATAGGATGTTGGGTGCCTGGGTTGTAATAGGATGTTGGATGCCTGGGTTGTAATAGGATGTTGGATGCCTGGGTTTTAATAGGATGTTGGGTGCCGGGGTTGTAATAGGATGTTGGATGCCTGGGTTTTAATAGGATGTTGGATGCTTGGGTTGTAATAGGATGTTGGATGCCTGGGATGTAATAGGATGTTGGATGTTTGGGTTGTAATAGGATGTTGGGTGCCTGGGTTGTAATAGGATGTTGGGTGCCTGGGTAGGGCCGGGTAATAGGATGTTGGATGCCTGGGTTGTAATAGGATGTTGGATGCCTGGGTTGTAATAGGATGTTGGATGCCTGGGTTGTAATAGGATGTTGGAAGCCTGGGTTGTAATAGCATGTTGGATGTTTGGGTTGTAATAGGATGTTAGGTGCCTGGGTTGTAATAGGATGTTGGATGCCTGGGTTGTAATAGGATGTTAGGTGCGTGGGTTGTAATAGGATGTTAGGTGCCTGGGTTGTAAATTTGGACTCCCAGCCCTATTCAGCTTGTACTCATGTAAGTTGGCATCCCTGATGTATTCATCTTATTCTCCAGCTGCACTACAAGGACACGACCAAGAATGCGGACAGGATGGTGATTATCCCTACAACAAGGGCAGACACCAAGAGACAGTACTCCTATGCCCTCACCTCCTCCCAACTGGAGAAACACCATCACTACACTATCTGGGTGAGTCACTGACAGTTGGATGGACCAATCAGAGCTTGGTGTTAGTGGTTGACAGCCATGTTGACCAATCAGAGCTGGGTGTGAGTGCTTGACAGCCATGTTGACCAATCAGAGCTTGGTTTGACTGATTGACAGCCATGTTGACCAATCAGAGTGTGGTGTGAGTGATTGACAGCCATGTTGACCAATCAGAGTGTGGTGTGAGTGATTGACAACCATGTTGACCAATCAGAGTGTGGTGTGAGTGATTGACAGCCATGTTGACCAATCAGAGCTGGATTTGAGTGGTTGACAGCCATGTTGACCAATCAGAGCTGGGTTTGAGTGGTTGACAGCCATGTTGACCAATCAGAGCTGGGTTTGAGTGGTTGACAGCCATGTTGACCAATCAGAGCTAGGTTTGAGTGATTGACAACCATGTTGACCAATCAGAGTGTGGTGTGAGTGATTGACAGCCATGTTGACCAATCAGAGCTGGATTTGAGTGGTTGACAGCCATGTTGACCAATCAGAGCTGGGTTTGAGTGATTGACAGCCTCAGGTTGGCAGCATATAACTGGAATATTGCTGAGTGCAAAGTTAAACAACAAACATTAATTATTTGAAAAAATAAAGGCAGTCTTTGGTAAGGCAGTCTTGAAAAGGCCTTAATTTCATCACTGCAATTCTGTATGAATTGTGAATTATCTGTTACAGGTGACTGCTGTGTCTGATGGCGGAGAAAGCAACCCCACAAACAAAACCAGCATTACCTTCCAACATCAGAACTATAAGCCAGTGCAAGGTCTCAAATTAACCAACTCAGGCAAAACCAGCCTGACGTTGTCATGGAAACCAATCAAAGGCGTCATCACATATGTGGCCACCGCGAGGTACCAATTGACCCCTGATGATGATGATGTGGAGACCAAGAAAACAGTGAAGAATGCCACTGTTACATGTGAGTATTTAGTGCAGGGGGGACAACTCATGCGGGGGAGATAACTCATGTTGAAGAATGCTAATGTAACATGGGAGATAACTTGTGTCTAAGTATGTCACTAATGAGTAAATATATCAAAAGCAGGGGAGATAACTCATGTTGAAGAATGCTAATGTAACATGGGAGATAACTTGTGTCTAAGTATGTCACTAATGAGTAAATATATCAAAAGCAGGGGAGATAACTCAAGTTGAAGAATGCTAATGTAACATGGGAGATAACTTGTGTCTAAGTATGTCACTAATGTGTAAATATATCAAAAGCAGGGGAGATAACTCAAGTTGAAGAATGCTAATGTAACATGGGAGATAACTTGTGTCTAAGTATGTCACTAATGTGTAAATATATCAAAAGCAGGGGAGATAACTCATGTTGAAGAATGCTAATGTAACATGGGAGATAACTTGTGTCTAAGTATGTCACTAATGTGTAAATATATCACAAGCAGGGGAGATAACTCAAGTTGAAGAATGCTAATGTAACATGGGAGATTACTTGTGTCTAAGTATGTCACTAATGTGTAAATATATCAAAAGCTGGGGAGATAACTCAAGTTGAAGAATGCTAATATAACATGGGAGATAACTTGTGTCTAAGTATGTCACTAATGTGTAAATATATCAAAAGCAGGGGAGATAACTCAAGTTGAAGAATGCTAATGTAACATGGGAGATTACTTGTGTCTAAGTATGTCACCAATGTGTAAATATATCAAAAGCAGGGGAGATAACTCAAGTTGAAGAATGCTTATGTAACATGGGAGATCACTTGTGTCTAAGTATGTCACCAATGTGTAAATATATCAAAAGCAGGGGAGATAACTCATGTTGAAGAATGCTAATGTAACATGGGAGATTACTTGTGTCTAAGTATGTCACCAATGTGTAAATATATCAAAAGCAGGGGAGATAACTCAAGTTGAAGAATGCTAATGTAACATGGGAGATCACTTGTGTCTAAGTATGTCACCAATGTGTAAATATATCAAAAGCAGGGGAGATAACTCATGTTGAAGAATGCTAATGTAACATGGGAGATTACTTGTGTCTAAATATGTCACCAATGTGTAAATATATCAAAAGCAGGGGAGATAACTCAAGTTGAAGAACGCTAATGTAACATGGGAGATAACTTGTGTCTAAGTATGTCACTAATGTGTAAATATATCAAAAGCAGGGGAGATAACTCATGTTGAAGAATGCTAATGTAACATGGGATATTACTTGTGTCTAAGTATGTCACTAATGTGTAAATATATCAAAAGCAGGGGAGATAACTCATGTTGAAGAATGCTAATGTAACATGGGAGATAACTTGTGTCTAAGTATGTCACTAATGAGTAAATATATCAAAAGCAGGGGAGATAACTCATGTTGAAGAATGCTAATGTAACATGGGAGATTACTTGTGTCTAAGTATGTCACTAATGAGTAAATATATCAAAAGCAGGGGAGATAACTCAAGTTGAAGAATGCTAATGTAACATGGGAGATAACTTGTGTCTAAGTATGTCACTAATGTGTAAATATATCACAAGCAGGGGAGATAACTCAAGTTGAAGAATGCTAATGTAACATGGGAGATTACTTGTGTCTAAATATGTCACCAATGTGTAAATATATCAAAAGCAGGGGAGATAACTCAAGTTGAAGAACGCTAATGTAACATGGGAGATAACTTGTGTCTAAGTATGTCACTAATGTGTAAATATATCACAAGCAGGGGAGATAACTCAAGTTGAAGAATGCTAATGTAACATGGGAGATAACTTGTGTCAAAGTATGTCACTATTAGGGCTTCCACGAGTCCAAATTTTGGGACTCGAGTACCCGAGGGGTGAAACTCGACTCGTACTCGAGTACCCAAAAGTATGATGTCCTTTAAGAATATTGGTCCATTAGATCAAAATTGCCATCTAAAAGTATCAAAACATGTTATAAGTATAATTGAACTGCAGTGAAACATAAATAGAAAGCGTCCAAGGAACTTGTTTATCTGTCAAAGTGTATGGAAGTGTTCAGTGGTAATGTTTGCTTGTAACTGCACTAATCTTAATCACGACCTTCAAAAACATAACGTCACGTCTACAAATACTACAATACATATTGAACACAAACCAAGTTTATTTCTGACGATCAGAAGAAAATCAAAAATGTGCATCACGTGACATACACGTATACACAGCTGCTGGGCTACAAGACTAAGGCCGCTAAATATGGAAATGTAGTACTATAAGTTCATTCATTCATGAGTTGGTCACGTTTTCAAACTGTACCAAACTGTCGACCTGTCGCTTGATTTGTAAGCACTGAAATAGCACATATATACCAGCTAATCAGTTGTTAATCTGTGTAAGGGAATACACTTGGCATTTGAGTCGGAGCAAAGAAGCAATTATTGCCTTGATACATTCAATTTCTTAAAGTTGGGAAGGAAAAACAATAATTACGTCTATTTTATGTGACATTCACAATTGTTCTAATGTACATCTACTTTCTACAAAGAAAACATTATTCAAACAATATTTTTTGAAGCTTTAATCAATATATTGATGAACAATTGAAAACAGAGTGATCTCCCCTTATCGAGTACTTGAGTCCTTGATAAAGGACTCGAGTCCCACTAAAACCGACCCGGCCCTGAGTACTCGAGTACTCGTTGAAGCCCTAGTCACTAATGTGTAAATAGATCAAATACAGAGATAACTCATGCAGGGTAGATAACTCATGTTGAAGAATGCCACTTCTGTAAATATATCAAGGACGTGATACAATTCATGCAGGGGAGATAACTCATGTTGAATAATGCCACTTGTGGAAATATATCAAGGAAGTGATACATTTCCTGAAGGGGAGATAACTCATGTTGAATAATGCCACTATTGTGTAAATATCTCAAGGATGGGAAACAATTCATGCAGGGGAGATAACTCATCTTGAATAATGCCATTTGTATAAATATATCAAGGACGTGATACATTTCATGAAGGGGAGATAACTCATGTCAAATAATGCTACTATTGTGTAAATATCTCAAGGACGTGATACAATTCATGCAGGGGAGATTCACCATTGGAATGAGAATAAGACTGTGTAATGGAAATATTGCTGACTCGACGTTTCTTGCTTCAGTCACACGTCTCTGCCCTGGGACATCCTACTACTTCATCGTGCAGCCGATCTTCAAGGCCGGGCCCGGAGTGCCCTCACAAGCCTTCTACGGGAACACTGAAGGTACTTCCCTTGTAACTGGGTAGAACTGGTCCATAGTACAACATGCCTGTCTTCTTGTGTAGATTCTGGGGTAGAACTGGTCCATAGTACCACATGCTTGTCTTCTTGTGGAGATTCTGGGGTAGAACTGGTCCATAGTACAACATGCCTGTCTTCTTGTGGAGATTCTGGGGTAGTACTGGTCCATAGTACCACATGCTTGTCTTCTTGTGGAGATTCTGGGGTAGAACTGGTCCATAGTACAACATGCTTGTCTTCTTGTGGAGATTCTGGGGTAGAACTGGTCCATAGTACCACATGCTTGTCTTCTTGTGTAGATTCTGGGGTAGAACTGGTCCATAGTACCACATGCTTGTCTTCTTGTGGAGATTCTGGGGTAGAACTGGTCCATAGTACAACATGCTTGTCTTCTTGTGTAGATTCTGGGGTAGAACTGGTCCATAGTACAACATGCTTGTCTTCTTGTGGAGATTCTGGGGTAGAACTGGTCCATAGTACCACATGCCTGTCTTCTTGTGTAGATTCTGGGGTAGAACTGGTCCATAGTACAACATGCTTGTCTTCTTGTGTAGATTCTGGGGTAGAACTGGTCCATAGTACAACATGCCTGTCTTCTTGTGTAGATTCTGGGGTAGAACTGGTCCATAGTACAACATGCCTGTCTTCTTGTGTAGATTCTGGGGTAGAACTGGTCCATAGTACAACATGCCTGTCTTCTTGTGTAGATTCTGGGGTAGAACTGGTCCATAGTACAACATGCTTGTCTTCTTGTGTAGATTCTGGGGTAGAACTGGTCCATAGTACAACATGCTTGTCTTCTTGTGGAGATTCTGGGGTAGAACTGGTCCATAGTACAACATGCCTGTCTTCTTGTGTAGATTCTGGGGTAGAACTGGTCCATAGTACAACATGCTTGTCTTCTTGTGTAGATTCTGGGGTAGAACTGGTCCATAGTACAACATGCCTGTCTTCTTGTGGAGATTCTGGGGTAGAACTGGTCCATAGTACAACATGCCTGTCTTCTTGTGTAGATTCTGGGGTAGAACTGGTCCATAGTACAACATGCCTGTCTTCTTGTGTAGATTCTGGGGTAGAACTGGTCCATAGTACAACATGCCTGTCTTCTTGTGTAGATTCTGGGGTAGAACTGGTCCATAGTACAACATGCCTGTCTTCTTGTGTAGATTCTGGGGTAGAACTGGTCCACAGTACAACATGCCTGTCTTCTTGTGTAGATTCTTGGGTAGAACTGGTCCACAGTACAACATGCTTGTCTTCTTGTGTAGATTCTTGGGTAGAACTGGTCCACAGTACAACATGCCTGTCTTCTTGTGTAGATTCTGGGGTAGAACTGGTCCACAGTACAACATGCCTGTCTTCTTGTGTAGATTCTGGGGTAGAACTGGTCCATAGTACAACATGCCTGTCTTCTTGTGTAGATTCTGGGGTAGAACTGGTCCATAGTACAACATGCTTGTCTTCTTGTGTAGATTCTGGGGTAGAACTGGTCCATAGTACAACATGCTTGTCTTCTTGTGTAGATTCTGGGGTAGAACTGGTCCATAGTACAACATGCTTGTCTTCTTGTGTAGATTCTGGGGTAGAACTGGTCCATAGTACAACATGCTTGTCTTCTTGTGTAGATTCTGGGGTAGAACTGGTCCATAGTACAACATGCCTGTCTTCTTGTGTAGATTCTGGGGTAGAACTGGTCCATAGTACAACATGCCTGTCTTCTTGTGTAGATTCTGGGGTAGAACTGGTCCATAGTACAACATGCCTGTCTTCTTGTGTAGATTCTGGGGTAGATCTGGTCCATAGTACAACATGCCTGTCTTCTTGTGTAGATTCTGGGGTAGAACTGGTCCACAGTACCACATTGCCCTCCCAATGTATGATGTTAACATTATATATATTGCCCTGCCACTGTATGATGTGATGTGATATGATATATATTGCCCTGCCACTGTATGATGTGATATGATATATATTGCCCTGCCACTGTATGATGTGATATGATATATATTGCCCTCCCACTATATGATATAACATGATATATATTGCCCTGCCACTGTATGATATAACATGATATATATTGCCCTGCCACTGTATGATATAACATGATACATATTGCCCTCCCACTGAATGATATAACATGATATATATTGCCCTGCCACTGTATGATATAACATGATATATATTGCCCTCCCCCTGTATGATATAATATGATATATATTGCCCTCCCACTGTATGATATAACATGATATATATTGCCCTGCCACTGTATGATATAACATGATATATATTGCCCTCCCACTGTATGATATAACATCATATATATTGCCCTCCCCTGTATGATATAACATCATATATATTGCCCTCCTCCTGTATGATATAACATCATATATATTGCCTCCCACTGAATGATGTAACATGATATATATTGCCCTCCCTCTGTATGATATAACATGATATATATTGCCCTCCAACTGTATGATATAACATGATATATATTGCCCTCCCACTATGATATAACATGATATATATTGCCCTGCCACTGTATGATGTCAAATGATATATATTGCCTCCCACTGAATGATATAACATGATATATATTGCCCTCCCACTGTATGATATAACATGATATATATTGCCCTCCCACTGTATGATATAACATGATATATATTGCCCTCCAACTGTATGATATAACATGATATATATTGCCCTCCCACTGTATGATATAACATGATATATATTGCCCTCCAACTGTAGGATATAACATGATATATATTGCCCTCCCACTGTATGATATAACGTGATATATATTGCCCTCCCACTGTATGATATAACATGATATATATTGCCCTCCCACTGTATGATATAACATGATATATATTGCCCTCCCACTGTATGATATAACATGATATATATTGCCCTGCCACTGTATGATATAACATGATATATATTGCCCTCCCACTGTATGATATAACATGAAATATATTGCCCTCCCCCTGTAGGAAATAACATGTTATATATTGCCCTCCCACTGTATGATATAACATGATATATATTGCCCTCCCACTGTATGATATAACATGATATATATTGCCCTCCAACTGTATGATATAACATGATATATATTGCCCTCCCACTGTATGATATAACATGATATATATTGCCTCCCACTATGATATAACATGATATATATTGCCCTCCCACTGTATGATATAACATGATATATATTGCCTCCCACTATGATATAACATGATATATATTGCCCTCCCACTGTATGATATAACATGATATATATTGCTCTCCCACTATATGATATAACATGACATATATTGCCCTCCCACTGTATGATATAACGTGATATATATTGCCCTCCCACTGTATGATATAACATGATATATTTTGCCCTCCTTGTGTGTTGTAATCTCATTGGTTACTTCCTGTTGTAGGAAAACAGGTCCAAGCACCCCAAAATGTCAACATCACCAAGTCTGCCGCCACCCAAGTCCACATCCAGTTCCCGGATGCCGAAGCCAAAAAGGTTCTTACAGCTCCTTTGACAATCCGTGGACCGACTAGGTTACCCAGTACCGCCATGCTTGCCTCCCTGTGCAGTGTCTTGGGTAGAACACAGGTTTACCTGTACTCATGCTTGTCTCCCTGTGCAGTGTCTTGGGTAGAACACAGGTCTACCTGTACTTATGCTTGTCTCCCTGTGCAGTGTCTTGGGTAGAACACAGGTTTACCTGTACTCATGCTTGTCTCCCTGTGCAGTGTCTTGGGTAGAACACAGGTTTACCTGTACTCATGCTTGTCTCCCTGTGCAGTGTCTTGGGTAGAACACAGGTTTACCTGTACTCATGCTTGTCTCCCTGTGCAGTGTCTTGGGTAGAACACAGGTTTACCTGTACTCATGCTTGTCTCCCTGTGCAGTGTCTTGGGTAGAACACAGGTTTACCTGTACTCATGCTTGTCTCCCTGTGCAGTGTCTTGGGTAGAACACAGGTTTACCTGTACTCATGCTTGTCTCCCTGTGCAGTGTCTTGGGTAGAACACAGGTTTACCTGTACTCATGCTTGTCTCCCTGTGCAGTGTCTTGGGTAGAACACAGGTTTACCTGTACTCATGCTTGCCTCCCTGTGCAGTGTCTTGGGTAGAACACAGGTTTACCTGTACTCATGCTTGTCTCCCTGTGCAGTGTCTTGGGTAGAACACAGGTTTACCTGTACTCATGCTTGTCTCCCTGTGCAGTGTCTTGGGTAGAACACAGGTTTACCTGTACTCATGCTTGTCTCCCTGTGCAGTGTCTTGGGTAGAACACAGGTTTACCTGTACTCATGCTTGTCTCCCTGTGCAGTGTCTTGGGTAGAACACAGGTTTACCTGTACTCATGCTTGTCTCCCTGTGCAGTGTCTTGGGTAGAACACAGGTTTACCTGTACTCATGCTTGTCTCCCTGTGCAGTGTCTTGGGTAGAACACAGGTTTACCTGTACTCATGCTTGTCTCACTGCGGGGATTTAGGGCAGAAAACATCCCCAGTACCTCATTTTTCTTGTTTGGATTACAGAACCAATGACAAAAACATTTTTAAAAAAGCATCAGAATGATGAAGTTATTTTTCAGACAGCCGACAGGAAAGGTCGCTAAGACAATACAAATAACAACGGAAATCTGTTGTTGGAAACAAAATATATACTAATTAAAATAAGTTAAAGAACACTCATTTTTTTAATCCGTCATGACTGATGAACTATAGTCGAAGAAAAAATTGGATTAGTTTCAGAAAATATAAAAAATATTATGAGTTATTTTATATATTAGGCTTAAAAAATATAAAATAAGTGGGTCCTCAGCCAATGGCTTGTTTTTATTTTGTTTTTTAAACTAGTATGTAACCAAATAAACAGTTTTGTAACCAAATAAAAAGTTGTGTACAATCAACCTGGGAAAGGGCCTCCCTACATAAATGTATTCCTTGATGAGTAAAAAACTGGAATACAGTATTTGACTACCATTGGACTCGGAATATTTAAAAGATTTTTTTTGGTTTACTTTCAAATGGAAATAAAAATTAAAATGTTCGGCAAACTTTATGATGATGAGGGCGGTGCCTGAGAACCAAGACTATTATGTTTTTTAGCCTTATGAGAATAGATTTAAGGAAATAGAATTCGAAATACGGGTATTTAGTGAAAGTGAGCTTCTGTACCTTAAGTGCTTTGGTTGTTTGGCATTGGGATCTGTTATTACTACTGTTAAGAATACCGATCACAGAAATGTGTGTCATGTTTCAGTCACACATCGTGTATTACATAAAACACAGTGAGATGGATGTGCAGGATTTCCTGCTTCACGCTATGAGGAAGAATGTGACAGCACCGGAGACCTTCATCAGTGGGCTTCAGGCCTGTGAACGCTACTTCTTCAGGGTGGGAGCTGTGCCAGAAGGATGCCCACTAGGACCAGTTGTGTCCATCGAGACTGACCCAGGTATGGCCACACAACCCCTGGAGGGGCACGACCCGTGAAGATTCCGGGGTAGAATAGGTCTTCAGCAACCCATGCTTGCCGTAAAACGTGACTATGCTTGTCGTGAAAGGCGACTGACGGGATCGGGTGGTCAGGCTCGCTGACTTGGTTGATGAATGTCATCAATCCCAATTGCGTGGATCGATGCTCATGATATTAATCACTGGATTCTCTGGTCCAGACTCGATTATTTACAGACCGCGTCATATAGCTGGAATATTGCTGAGTGGGGCGTAAAACAACAAACCAACCAACCAACCTGTTGGGGCACGGTCGTCTAAGGCGCCGCAATTGACTGTGCAGAATTGCATCCATTGGGCTCGTCAGAAGCCTCTGATCGTAGGTTCGATTATTGGTTCACCTCGATTATGTTTCCAGGTTTGTCAGCACAGTGGTAGACATCTGAGACCTGCATCACCTTGGGGTTTCGTCTGCTGTGATATAACTTGAATGGTATTCAAAGTGGCATTAAACCCAACTTTCTCTCTCACTCACTCACTCACTTCATGAGACCCATGAAGATTCCTGGGTAGAATAGGTCTTCAACAACCCAGGCTTGCCGTAAAAGGCGACTAACTGGATCGGGTGGTCAGGCTCGCTGACTTGGCTGATGCATGTCATCATATCCCAATCGCGTGGATCGATGCTCATTATATCAATCACTGGATTGCTGGTCAAGACTCGATTTTTTACAGACCCCCTGACATATAGCTGGAATATTGCTGAGTCCGGCGTTAAACAACAGACAAACAAAAAATATCCATCCTTCAATATTTTATTTGCCATGAAATTAGAACTCCTTCCTCCTCCTACAGATGACAAGGCTCCCCCGAAGAACTTGAGGTATTCTTTTGTGCACAAGGATGGGAGGATCGCCCTCAACATCAGCTGGGAAGCACCATGCTACTACAAGGGCATGCCACTGGTGAGTGACGAAGCAACCACGGTCTGTCAAGTGTTCGTTTTGCCAAATGGAGATGTCAGGTTTTAATAGCTCCCAAGCATCCTGTGCTTGTTGTAAGTGGCGACAACATGGCTCAAGACTCTGGGATTTGATTTATTGTGCCATCGTACCCAGCATGGGAGGTTGGTAACATCAATCACTGGTTTGTCAGGTCCAAACCACAGGCCAATTATCGACCAATCAGAGAGCTGCTTACAGACATACACCCATTCTGTGCGGGTCTGATGTCGGCCATTTGTGCCCAGGTGGCGAGTCGACGACTTTCGGTCGACATTATTTCATAGCAATAAAGAACTAGGAGGTATCATGTATTGGAATCTATAGAATGATCACCCTAGACAAGGTAGATGTCAAGATTTTATGCCTGATTTGCGATATTACTTAAGAAACAACAATGCAAGGTTAACTGTGCCATGTGGAGAGTCTGGCCGTCTGTAAATATATAGGAGGATAGTGCATTTCTGACACGTGATATTAATTGATCTAGAAATATTTAAGCAATGACAAGCGCCTGTTGTCCAGACAGGGCTGGTTTTGTATCCGAAAGAATACCAAGAAAGTTATGAATAATTGTATAAATAGTTTGTCCTTGCTTATTGATATCAACATGCAAGATCAGCATGGACAGTCAGTATGGGTTAAATGTGGATTGATGCCAAATTAAGTGTATATGGTATCGTATTGTGCCAAGTTTGCCCACAATGCACCAGTTAAAAATCACTCACTCTTTATGTGTGTCTTTCCAAACTAATTTGGAGCGGTCGGGTAGCCTAATGGTTAAAGCGTTCACTCGTCACGCCGAAGACCCGGGTTCGATTCCCATTGGGTACAATGTGTGAAGCCCATTTCTGGTGTCCCCCGCCGTGATATTGCTGGAATATTTCTAAAAGCGGTGTAAAACCATACTCACTCACTCACTCCAAACTAATTCCATGGAGAATGTTCCTGTTTTCGTGCTTCCCCTTTGCCAGGCAGTTGTTTCTGTGTGTGTCGGAACCATTCGTTTGTTCTCTCTGATTACACATTATTGCATCACGTAAAAACCTTCGTAGTCATTTCTTACATGTTGTCACACCCCTTCTCTCATTCCAGTCATATCAGATAGAGAAAAAGAATTTACACACGCGTAAGACTGAGATGCTGATCCTTGGCAAACCAACGACCAGCATCAGGAACTCCCATCTGGCCATCAACCTGAAGCGAGGGGTCAAGTACGAGTTCCGTGTCGCCACAACCACATCCGGATCTCAGTATTCACCTGCTGTCAGAGTAGCCATACGTAAGTCTTACAGTGTGCGACATCCCCATCTGGATCCCAGTATTCACCTGCTGTCAGAGTAGCCATACGTAAGTCTTACAGTGTGCGACATCCCCATCCGGATCCCAGTATTCACCTGCTGTCAGAGTAGCCATACGTAAGTCTTACAGTGTGCGACATCCCCATCCGGATCCCAGTATTCACCTGCTGTCAGAGTAGCCATACGTAAGTCTTACAGTGTGCGACATCCCCATCCGGATCCCAGTATTCACCTGCTGTCAGAGTAGCCATACGTAAGTCTTACAGTGTGCAACATCCCCATCCGGATCCCAGTATTCACCTGCTGTCAGAGTAGCCATACGTAAGTCTTACAGTGTGCAACATCCCCATCCGGATCCCAGTATTCACCTGCTGTCAGAGTAGCCATACGTAAGTCTTACAGTGTGCGACATCCCCATCCGGATCCCAGTATTCACCTGCTGTCAGAGTAGCCATACGTAAGTCTTACAGTGTGCAACATCCCCATCCGGATCCCAGTATTCACCTGCTGTCAGAGTAGCCATACGTAAGTCTTACAGTGTGCGACATCCCCATCCGGATCCCAGTATTCACCTGCTGTCAGAGTAGCCATACGTAAGTCTTACAGTGTGCGACATCCCCATCCGGATCCCAGTATTCACCTGCTGTCAGAGTAGCCATACGTAAGTCTTACAGTGTGCAACATCCCCATCCGGATCCCAGTATTCACCTGCTGTCAAAGTAGCCATACGTAAGTCTTACAGTGTGCGACATCCCCATCCGGATCCCAATATTCACCTGCTGTCAGAGTAGCCATACGTAAGTCTTACAGTGTGCAACATCCCCATCTGGATCCCAGTATTCACCTGCTGTCAGAGTAGCCATACGTAAGTCTTACAGTGTGCGACATCCCCATCCGGATCCCAGTATTCACCTGCTGTCAGAGTAGCCATACGTAAGTCTTACAGTGTGCGACATCCCCATCCGGATCCCAGTATTCACCTGCTGTCAGAGTAGCCATACGTAAGTCTTACAGTGTGCGACATCCCCATCCGGATCCCAATATTCACCTGCTGTCAGAGTAGCCATACGTAAGTCTTACAGTGTGCGACATCCCCATCCGGATCCCAGTATTCACCTGCTGTCAGAGTAGCCATACGTAAGTCTTACAGTGTGCGACATCCCCATCCGGATCCCAATATTCACCTGCTGTCAGAGTAGCCATACGTAAGTCTTACAGTGTGCGACATCCCCATCCGGATCCCAGTATTCACCTGCTGTCAGAGTAGCCATACGTAAGTCTTACAGTGTGCGACATCCCCATCCGGATCCCAGTATTCACCTGCTGTCAGAGTAGCCATACGTAAGTCTTACAGTGTGCAACATCCCCATCCGGATCCCAGTATTCACCTGCTGTCAGAGTAGCCATACGTAAGTCTTACAGTGTGCAACATCCCCATCCGGATCCCAGTATTCACCTGCTGTCAGAGTAGCCATACGTAAGTCTTACAGTGTGCGACATCCCCATCCGGATCCCAGTATTCACCTGCTGTCAGAGTAGCCATACGTAAGTCTTACAGTGTGCGACATCCCCATCCGGATCCCAATATTCACCTGCTGTCAGAGTAGCCATACGTAAGTCTTACAGTGTGCGACATCCCCATCCGGATCCCAGTATTCACCTGCTGTCAGAGTAGCCATACGTAAGTCTTACAGTGTGCGACATCCCCATCCGGATCCCAGTATTCACCTGCTGTCAGAGTAGCCATACGTAAGTCTTACAGTGTGCGGCATCCCCATCCGGATCCCAATATTCACCTGCTGTCAGAGTAGCCATACGTAAGTCTTACAGTGTGCGACATCCCCATCCGGATCCCAATATTCACCTGCTGTCAGAGTAGCCATACGTAAGTCTTACAGTGTGCGACATCCCCATCCGGATCCCAATATTCACCTGCTGTCAGAGTAGCCATACGTAAGTCTTACAGTGTGAGACATCCCCATCCGGATCCCAATATTCACCTGCTGTCAGAGTAGCCATACGTAAGTCTTACAGTGTGCAACATCCCCATCCGGATCCCAGTATTCACCTGCTGTCAGAGTAGCCATACGTAAGTCTTACAGTGTGAGACATCCCCATCCGGATCCCAGTATTCACCTGCTGTCAGAGTAGCCATACGTAAGTCTTACAGTGTGCGACATCCCCATCCGGATCCCAATATTCACCTGCTGTCAGAGTAGCCATACGTAAGTCTTACAGTGTGCGACATCCCCATCCGGATCCCAGTATTCACCTGCTGTCAGAGTAGCCATACGTAAGTCTTACAGTGTGCAACATCCCCATCCGGATCCCAATATTCACCTGCTGTCAGAGTAGCCATACGTAAGTCTTACAGTGTGCGGCATCATGTCAACAGGGGGCGGTCGGGTAGCCTAGTGGTTAAAGCATTTGCTCGTCGTGCCAAAGACCTGGGTTCGATTCCCGACATGGGTACAATGTGTGAAGCCCATTTCTGGTGTCCCCTGCCGTGATATTGCTGGAATATTGCTAAAAGCAGCGTAAAACCATTCTCACTCACTCACTCACTCACTCACTCATGTCAACAGGCCTCAAAGTTGGGACTAAAACGGTAGCCAATGCGACCTAAATTTCAATTTGTCTACTGTCTAATATTCAGAGGTAGCCAAATGACTAACTTGAAAAATATCCTGTTGCAACTAAATTCTATTGCTACACATCTGTAGACACACAAATAAATAACAGCTGATATTGGTAAACATGTCTGCTAATAATTGTACTCGCAAATAATTCCTTCTAAAGTCGACAATGAACCAAAATGCATAAAAATTACTGTAATTAGTACTTTATTTTAGTTGACAATACTCATTGGATAAGCAGGGTTATACCTATATACTGTAAACAGGGAATATTTTGCGCCCGTTTTATTATTGCGAGTTTTGCGAACGAGACTCAATCGCAAAAATTAAAACCGCAAAAAATAAGTATAAATAATACATATATACTTTATTCATTGCAACACGTCATCAAATGTTGAAATCATCAACCAGAACCACAAGTTACTCAATAAGTTAAAACACAAATGAATGCAGAATGGTCACACAATACATCACAAATGACAGTGTAAACAGACCAGTCAGTGTCACTGTTACCTCACAGTAATCCTGCCTTCTTCCAACCTCGCTTGATTGCGTCAGTGTCCTTTGCAATTTTGTCCACACAGGAAACAGCCATCGTTACGTATCTCCACATTGTCACAATTTTTGGGTGACGAATTCAGATTAACTAGCTTCAGAGAGAAGCTGTCTATTGTTTGGTAATTGAGGGGTCATCTCAAAACGGCAACTCGCAAAAATATCTCGTTGCAGTATTGTCTTTGGTGTGGTATTCGCAATATTTTAACAGCGCAGAAATAAAGCTGTTTACAGTAATCTAGTAACATAAATTGCATCATTGTTCAACATGTACAAGTCACAAGTAACAAAATTCAAGTTCAGTTTCCATTGAGATACAATTTCAAGACTAGTGCTGTAACTTGTACATATTATAATAGTTATTTGATAAAGATAATTTCAAATGCTTTTGGCTACCTACAATATTGGCTTGACTTCTTGATTTTACCACCGAAAAAAAATACTTGGAGCCATATGGCTATTTGGTAAAAATATAAACTTTGAGGCCTGGTCAGTGTTATTATTACCCTCAGTCATTCTACCTATATGGGTAATAAAGTCTCGATAATGTCTGCGCAGTGTTGTCGTATTTCCCTCAGTCTTCGTACCTATTGAATATTGCTTGAATATTGTTAAAAGCAGAGTAAACAATACTCAGTCTGTCCACCTATTTTGGTATATCTAGATAATGTCTGTGTCATGCCAGTTATTTCATGCCAGTTATTTCACTCAAACCCTCTACCTATATGGGTGATATAGACTAGATAATGTCTGAGTCATGCCAGTTATTTCACTCAAACCCTCTACCTATATGGGTGATATAGACTATATAATGTCTGAGTCATGCCAGTTATTTCACTCAAACCCTCTACCTATATGGGTGATATAGACTATATAATGTCTGAGTCATGCCAGTTATTTCACTCAAACTTTCTACCTATATGGGTGATATAGTCTAGACAATGTCTGAGTCATGCCAGTTATTTCACTCAAACCCTCTACCTATATGGGTGATATAGACTAGATAATGTCTGAGTCATGCCAGTTATTTCACTCAAACTTTCTACCTATATGGGTGATATAGTCTAGACAACGTCTGTGTCATGCCAGTTATTTCACTCAAACTTTCTACCTATATGGGTGATATGGTCTAGACAATGTCTGTGTCATGTCAGTTATATACCTTTATGGGTGATATAGTCTAGACAATGGCTGTGTCACGTTGGCGATGTTGTGTTGCAGCTGCGTATGCCCCGCCCATCAACCTGGAGGCGGTGCACCTGGGCAATGGACAGGTGGTGGTGAGATGGAGGGCGCCCGATATGGACCGACCACCCATCACTAACAGCTCTCAAGTGAGTACCTAACATTTGTTTCTGTCAACTCCATGGTCTGGTGTATAGAGTGGAAGGTCGGTGGTTCGATCCCCTCGTAAGAGGAGAGTAAACAGACTGGGTGGTGAGTATGCTGGTCGTAAGAGGAGAGTAAACAGACTGGATGGCGAGTACGCTGGTCGTAAGAGGAGAGTAAACAGATTGGGTGGGGAGTATGCTGGTCGTAAGAGGAGAGTAAACAGACTGGATGGCGAGTACGCTGGTCGTAAGAGGAGAGTAAACAGATTGGGTGGGGAGTATGCTGGTCGTAAGAGGAGAGTAAACAGATTGGGTGGGGAGTATGCTGGTCCTAAGAGGAGAGTAAACAGATTGGGTGGGGAGTATGCTGGTCGTAAGAGGAGAGTAAACAGACTGGGTGGGGAGTATGCTGGTCGTAAGAGGAGAGTAAACAGATTGGGTGGGGAGTATGCTGGTCGTAAGAGGAGAGTAAACAGACTGGGTGGCGAGTATGCTGGTCGTAAGAGGAGAGTAAACAGATTGGGTGGGGAGTATGCTGGTCGTAAGAGGAGAGTAAACAGACTGGGTGGGGAGTATGCTGGTCGTAAGAGGAGAGTAAACAGATTGGGTGGGGAGTATGCTGGTCGTAAGAGGAGAGTAAACAGATTGGGTGGCGAGTATGCTGGTCGTAAGAGGAGAGTTAACAGACTGGGTGGCGAGTATGCTGGTCGTAAGAGGAGAGTAAACAGACTGGGTGGGGAGTATGCTGGTCGTAAGAGGAGAGTAAACAGATTGGGTGGCGAATATGCTGGTCGTAAGAGGAGAGTAAACAGACTGGGTGGGGAGTATGCTGGTCGTAAGAGGAGAGTAAACAGACTGGGTGGGGAGTATGCTGGTCGTAAGAAGAGAGTAAACAGACTGGATGGCGAGTACGCTGGTCGTAAGAGGAGAGTAAACAGATTGGGTTGGGAGTATGGTGGTCGTAAGAGGAGAGTAAACAGATTGGGTGGCGAGTATGCTGGTCGTAAGAGGAGAGTAAACAGACTGGGTGGCGAGTATGCTGGTCGTAAGAGGAGAGTAAACAGACTGGGTGGCGAGTATGCTGGTCGTAAGAGGAGAGTAAACAGATTGGGTGGGGAGTATGCTGGTCGTAAGAGGAGAGAAAACAGATTGGGTGGCGAGTATGCTGGTCGTAAGAGGCGAGTAAACAGATTGGGTGGGGAGTACGCTGGTCGTAAGAGGAGAGTAAACAGATTGGGTGGCGAGTATGCTGGTCGTAAGAGGAGAGTAAACAGACTGGGTGGCGAGTATGCTGGTCGTAAGAGGAGAGTAAACAGATTGGGTGGCGAATATGCTGGTCGTAAGAGGAGAGTAAACAGACTGGTTGGCGAATATGCTGGTCGTAAGAGGAGAGTAAACAGATTAGGTGGCGAGTATGCTGGTGGTAAGAGGAGAGCTGGATAATTGCTGAGTGAGACTTTACCCCATCGCCTCTTACGACAAGTATGGATTTATGAAGACCAGTTCTAGCCCGGATGCTCACAGGGTAACATATATACAAGAGTGGAATCTCAAATCTTTTCCTGAATATTCTGACAAAAGGTAGAAAATGTCTTCAGAAACCTATACTTGCCGTAAATGGCGACTATGTTTGTCGTGAGAGGCAACTAACGGGATCGGGTGGTCAGGCTGGCTGACTTGGTTGATGCATGTCATCGTATCCCAATTGCGTGGATCGATGCTCATGATATCAACCACTGGATTGTCTGGTCCAGACTCGATTATTTACAGACAGTCGCCATATGGCTAGAATATTGCTGAGTGCAGTGTTAAACAACAAACAAACCAAACCTGAAGTTTCTCTGCTTTGCTTGCTAGGCCAGGTTCGAGGTGGATGTCGTACGGAACGAGACTGGCAACGACTTCCACATGAGCAACTACACCAGCTTGACCCAGTTGAGCTTCACCCTGGAGGTGGGCTTCATGTACACGTTCAGTGTGAAGTACAACACCCAGAATGGCTACATCGGGGAGGTGGCGACAGTCTTGTGTCCAGGTAAACTGTCACACCACAGACGCAGAGCTACACATTAGATATATATAAAATACCCCCCAAAAGTTGGGTTGGGTATCTGGGTAGGGTCGGGCACATGGGTAGGGTCGGGCACACGGGTAGGGTCGGGCACACGGGTAGGGTCGGGCACACTGGTAGGGTCGGGTATCCAGGTAGGGCACATGGATGGCTAGAGTACCCAGGTAGGGTCGGGCACACGGGTAGGGTCGGGCACACTGGTAGGGTCGGGTATCCAGGGAGGGCACATGGATGGGTAGAGTACCCAGGTAGGGTCGGGTACACGGGTAGGGTCGGGTACACGGGTAGGGTCGGGCACATGGGTAGGGGCGGATACACGGGTAGGGTCGGGCACATGGGGAGGGTCGAGCACATGGGTAGGGGCGGATACACGGGTAGGGTCGGGGAACACAGGTAGGGTTGGGCACATGGGTAGGGTTGGGTCGGGCACACTGGTAGGGTCGGGCACACGGGTAGGGTTGGGCACATGGGTAGGGTTGGGTCGGGCACACTGGTAGGGTCGGGTATCCAGGTAGGGCACATGGATGGGTAGAGTACCAAGGTAGGGTCGGGTACACGGGTAGGGTCGGGCACACGGGGAGGGTCGAGCACATGGGTAGGGGCGGATACACTGGTAGGGTTGGGCACATGGGTAGGGTTGGGTCGGGCACACTGGTAGGGTCGGGTATCCAGGTAGGGCACATGGATGGGTAGAGCACCCAGGTAGGGTCGGGCACACGGGTAGGGTCGGGCACACGGGTAGGGTTAGGCACATGGGTAGGGTTGGGTCGGGCACACTGGTAGGGTCGGGTATCCAGGGAGGGCACATGGATGGGTAGAGTACCCAGGTAGGGGCGGATACACGGGTAGGATCGGGCACATGGGTAGGGTCGGGCACACGGGTAGGGTCGGGCACACGGGTAGGGTCGGGCACACGGGTAGGGGCGGATACATGGGTAGGATCGGGCACATGTGTAGGGTCGGGCACACGGGTAGGGTCGGGCACACGGGTAGGGGCGGATACACGGGTTGGGTCGGGCACATGGGTTGGGTCAGGCACACGGGTAGGGTCGGGCACACGGGTAGGGGCGGATACACGGGTAGGATCGGGCACATGGGTAGGGTCGGGCACACTGGTAGGGTCGGGCACACTGGTAGGGTCGGGCACACGGGTAGGATCGGGTACTCAGGTAGGGGCGGATACACGGGTAGGATCGGGCACATGGGTAGGGTCGGGCACACGGGTAGGGTCGGGCACACGGGTAGGATCGGGTACTCAGGTAGGGGTGGATACATGGGTAGGATCAGGTACACTGGTAGTAAATTTGGACTCATCCCAGACCTTATATCTAGGATATTGATAACTTTGACTCGACAATTGTCTGTTTCCAGTGTACAACATCACTGCCCCGAACTCCCAACCAAGCACTAGTATCCTGACAACCACCAACCTTGTAGCCATCCTCGTCCCCATCGGCGTCATCGTCCTCATCCTGTCTACCTTGCTGACAGTTTACATTGTCCGGCATCGGCGACTACAACGCAGTTTCCTTGCCTTCGCAAACAGCCATTATGACCCACGTTCGGGAACTACAACCTTCACTGCAGCAGATGATCTTGGTAACAGTCAACAATATATTTTGAATATAACCTTGCTAGACCTAAGAGCCATAGGTCATGTTATTACAATGTATGGTCTGACTAATCTTGTCATCTTCGTCCCAGGATTCGCCGAGCATTTAATGGGTACCAGGTAGGATGAGATGGTAATCTGACTAAACCTTCTAGATCTTCACAGGCATCTTGGGTTGTATACTCCACAGGGAGCTGAGAATGAAATTTGGTTTGCACACTGATCCATTGACCGGGGTAATAATGTAGCGCTTTCAGCACACTTTAGGGTGTGGATTGACACATTATCACTATGTTTATTGTTTACTGGATCTCATTCGAGGACACTACCCTTGAAGATTCCGGGGTAGAATAGGTCTTCAGCAACCCATGCTTGCCGTAAAATGCGACTATGCTTGTCGTAAGAGGTGACTAACGGGATTGGGTGGTCATGCTTGCTGACTTAGTTGATGCATGTCATCGTATCCCAATTCTAGATTGTCTGGTCTAGACTCGATTATTCACAGACCACAGTCATATAGCCGGAATATTTCTGAGTCTACGTTAAAAAACAAAGAAAGAAAAAAAAAAGTGTGGCGAACAAACAAACAAATCTTTCAAGGACACACGCCCAAGGCAATTAGCTGTACAGAGTTGTATCCCCTGGGCATGCCAGGAAACTATGATCATGGGTTTGAATCCCATATTCATCATCTTCTCTCCTCTTCCCAGGTGACGATGAGGACACTCCTATGATCCAGGGATTCTCGGACGACGTTCCCCTCGTCATTGCCTGAACTCTCATCATCCAAGCAGCCATTGCAGGACAGGCTGAATAATGACATCACGCAGTTGAATTTTTACCACTTCAAGCTGAAGCAGCTGAATCATTTCAACTGGGTGATACATCGCATATCAACCGTACAGTACAACTGTTTCCAACATTATACATTAATACTCTCGAGGTCATAGATCTTTTAAAGCTTGTTGGAGAGTAACGTGAAAGAATATTACCAAAGTCTGATTAACCCGATTTTTCTGAATATTTTGTAAGTAATGGCTAAAACGAACAACTTGGACCTTCGAATCTGCTATATGTAGAGTTTGGTTATCACATGATTTGTCCAGGACTGTAAGTTGAGTTGGTAAAAATCAACTTGATACTAACGTGATAGTCGTTAATGGACGTTTCTGTTTGCTCATTTGAGATGTGTTTGTAGAAGAAATATGTTATAAAGTCCTCTCCGGATATAACTTATCAGTTATATGCAAAGTTCATCGCATCAACAATTCAGGGGTTTTGTGAGGTTTTTCGCTTATTTGAATGCGTAATCTCAAAGCAATTGAACTTTAAAATGTGATACAGATTTGGGTTGAGACTATTTGTCGACCAGGAAATGACTAGCTAATTTTTGTTTACCCCTATTTTGTATATTTGAAGATGCGACCTACTGTTTCCTGTTGTCGGGGATCCCAGCTTGCAACTGTTCCATGAAATGTCAAAACTTGTGGATATATATTCAGTGTTGCATTACTTGTGTAAATAATTCAATAACACAATAGTAGTATGACTCTGTTTCATAAATCAGTGACCTTTTTAATTTTTGTTTTGTAAACTGTCCACATTGTTAGTGGAACAACTCCTTTAGCCTGCAACCATTTTTTTATTTTACAGATACTTTTTACGAACATATTTTTTTGTAAAGTCATCCCTGATAATCTGATTTGGAAAAATACCAAAAATAGAATAAAAGAAACAAAGTGGTGCCAATCTTCCTCTATGGCTTCCACATTCGTTACCGAAATAAATTAACAGACTTTACTGGAAGAAAAAAATCTCAAACTTTTTATTTATTTTACATTTTTGAAATTTTGGTTCCATGGAGCTGTGAACGATGTAATTTGAAAAAATGGTATGTAAATTATTTTCGTGGCTAGTTTTTGTGTTGTTGTTTTTTAATTCACTATCAATATGTCGTCGGAGAACCTTACCATATCAGCTGTGTACACGACACCATGTTTTCACTGCTTGTTAACAACTGCTTATTGTCTTTCAGTCTTCATGGTGCTGTCTAGTTATGTTTTTGTAGTTTACTTTGTCACTTGGACAAGTGGACAATACCATGAGCAGGTGTCTGATCAAGAGCCATATTTTGTTGACAATACTGTGTCCTAATTTATAGTGCTCATTTATTTTATTTTTTATTTTTTATTTTGTTTTATTTTTATTTATTTTTTATATTATTATTATTATTATTATTACCGTATTCGACGTAATAAGCGCCCAGGGCGCTCTCGAAATTAGAAATAGGTGGCTCTTATAAGAATATTATTTTGGTGAAAAAAAACAGAGTTGAAAGATAAATTTCGTGGTTTATGCTGACAGCCTGAAGTGTTTATGTACGACAGATATATTTTTCCAGAATTTAATTGCCCATAATTAAGGGTGCATATAACACACGAGTGCGTATTATAAGTCTTGTGTACATTGATCAATCGGAAGGGGTGCTAATTGGGCTTGTTCACTAGCCAATACATTAGCAAATGTCGCCGTGGGCGCTTATTAGAGCGGGGCGCTTATTACGTCGAATACGGTATTATTATTATTATCATAAGTTAAATTTTCAAAAGTCGCTTTTGGAATTTAAAGAATATATGAGTATTGGAATTTTTTAAGAAAGATCTGAAATAAGTTCACAATTAGTGCTGAGGAAGGACGTATCTTATAAAAATGGGAATCTTTGTTTGCATATTCTATTTGCCATTTTCACATTTTGGGGAATGAGTTTTGACATTTTTTTATCATTCTGAAATAGCTTTTTTTACCAATAGTTATAAGGAAGTACAGATCTTTGTCTTTAGTTGGCATCTTTTTTTATTGACATTTTTATGATTTCCCTGCCGTCACCTAAAACCAATTGACTTTATTTGTTATGAATGACACATTTATTTTCTTATTGTGCTCTCCCCCTGTGTATTATCTACTTCAAAGTGCTTGAAAATTTGTCACATTTATGAAACAGAGTTGGCCATTTGTATGTTATCAATGTATATTAGGGACTATCTCAAACTTTTGATGATTTTTTTTCAGTGAAAATTAAAAATCATTTAAGAATAAGTGTATTTCACTCAGCAATTTTTTGCAACAAAGAAGAATTTGCAACTTTTAAGAAAAATAGGGCCTTGTTATACTTTTGTATAGGAGTGGAATAATTTGGGTGTGTTTGAGTTTGAGATGTCCCGTAAACAGAATCTCAACCTGTGATTTTTTACTTAGATGTGTTTTTTGCCTTGTGTAGGGTTCGTACTGTCTATGTGTTTAGTAAAGGGTTGGTATCGTGTGTGTATGTCCAGTAGAGGGTTGGTACTGTCTGTGTGTCTCCTCTGACTTTCCCATCAGAAAAAACTAACCACTTATCCACGATGTTGAAATATGGTGAATGTCCATTTGATGCCAATAACCTTGAAACCATGATGTTGCCGACTTGAAGGTCATATTGCGTGTTAGTTTGACCGTATATTCAGGCCTCCCGTCTCAAGCTCGTGAACAGACTCAATATGAAGGAGCAGCTCGTTTCAAAGTAAATATTTTATTTGTTTTTTAATTATCAATGTTTGTCAGAATCTCTGATACAAGAATGGGAAGGAATATCTAGGGAGGTGCAAGCCTCTTTGAGTAGAATATAAATAAACCGTATGTTTCAAAATTGGTAGATGGTTAAGGATTTGCTAATTCCTGGATTTGAATTTACATATATTAGGACAAATATTATGTTGTTTCCATAGATGCAGAAGTTATTGTAACTACTTGTTTATATAACATTGTTTGTTGGATGGAGTGATTGTGTTGACCCAACACGACATGGGAGAGTCCTCAGTGCAGAAAGAGGGGGGAAGGGAGAGTCCATTACACAAGATAGGGGGGAAGGGAGAGTCCATTACACAAGATAGGGGGGAGCTGGTGAGATGAGAGAGTCTATTTTACAGAAGAGGGGAGCTTTGATGGAAGTGATGGACGAGTCCATTGTACAGGAGACGGGAAACTTGTGATGGAAATTAGATGGGAGAGTCCATTATACAGGAAAGGAAGAACTTGTGATGGAAATTAGATGGGAGAGTCCATTATAAAGGAGAGGGTGGGGAACTTATGATGTTAATGAGACGGGAGAGTCCATTATGCAACAGAAGGGAGAAGCTTGTGGTATCTGAAAATGTATTTTTGATGATACAAAAGTTTGGTTTTCATTGCCATGCTGCAGATCGGTGGAGTCTGACAGTCATGGGATGGGTTATCAATCTTATGATGCAATACTTGTCGGTGGACAAGAGGCGACCGCACGACAGTTTTACTGCTACGGTATTGATGGACATTGTGGTTTTGGTGGCGGGATGAATGCAAGTGTTGGATGAACGCCATAGTCTGCCGTACTTACTCTAAAATATTCATGTCCTCCACGTATGCTACTCAACTTCTGATTGGGATACTGATTCTCCCTGTTGTAGCAGAAGGGGAACAGGGGGTTGTATGCGTCCCGCGTTACTTTTTATACCACGAGCCGGAAACAAATTCAAAATGAATAGAAAACAGCTGTTTGATTGAGCTGAGGTTAGCTTGCGCTATATCATTCCACTGACTCGGAAGAAGCGTGCAGGTTTTTGCTTTGAAACGGGGTATAAAGGATTTATTCTGCCTCAGAAATCTACGTTCAGCCTGACTTGCCCCTGGCGGGGTATAAGAGATTTATTCCCCTGCTGAGAAGGTTGTTCTCCTCCAAGGCGGGTTACACAGTATTTTATCAAGATCACATGGACCAATCAGATCTCATCACTATGACACGGACATGAATATTTTAGAGTAAATATGCATGGTTTGGAAAAGAATTATGAAAGCATGTGTAGATACTTTTGAAATATTATAACCTATATATATATATATACATATATGTAAATATGGAACAAGGAACAGTGGATCTTTATGTAGACGTGAATATATTCAGGAGATATAAATGTCACTTTTTATTCACAGCACAAACGTACCTGCAGGTGTTGTCTCTCTGAAAAGCCAATGAAAACAAACCGTCCCGAATAAGTTTGATTTTCAAATTTATCATTTTGTACAAGCAATTTCAAAGATTTCTCTGTAATTTAAATAGTTTGTATATTTTGAATTTGGGTCATTTCACTTTTGATGTTGATGTTTTCAAATTGTTAAAATGTTATTACAGTGTTCAATGTATGAAGCACTCAGGGTGTATAAACGCTTGAAAAAGGTTGGCTTTGGACTGCCGGTTCCACAGGCGCTATTTTTGCTTCCTGATAATGTCTGTGTCAGTACTGCATGGTATATGCTACTCACAAGAAGTTAAGGAACACCTGATTTTTTTATGTGACTAGTTATCATACCTGACAGGAAGGTTTTGCAAAACACAGCCTTCTCATTGTGGGTGTCCTTTACTTGTTTTGTGTAGTATGCAATGTTCCCCCATCACCCCTGGATGCTAAATGCTGCTATGCGATGAGGTCGCTATTTGTAACCCAGGAACCAAATAAAATCATTGTTCAAGCAAGAGGGTAGCCAGCAAGTGCTCTGACCTACAAGCGCTCAGCAGGCGGGCGGTCGGGTAGCCTAGTGGTTAAAACGTTCGCTTGTCATGCCAAAGACCCCGGTTCGATTGCCCACATGGGTACAATGTGTGAAGCCCATTTCTGGTGTCCCCCACCGTGATATTGCTGGAATATTGCTAAAAGCGGCGTAAAACCATACTCACACACACCAGAAAACAAAGCAAGGAGTAGGGCTTATAGAAGCTTATGTATTGTCGGTGATGGTGGAATACAGTGTACACAAACCATGGAAGTATTGACGATTTTATAAGTATGATCTTTATGCGGTCTTAATAAGAGACACATGAAATTTGTTTGAAAAAATATGACCGTCTATTACATCAGAGCGCTTAATATGTTGAATACGGTACATGTTTATAATATATGTACATGTATATAAGACCTCCAGCTGTATATGGGGACTGATGGTGGAATCAGTTTGTCTTGAGAGAGTTTGGCCTTGTTTTAGCTGTAGAAAAAGCGGGACTATCTTGTATTGATGCTGGACTTTGTAGAAGCAGAACTCTAGTTCTGTTGATTAAATTATTCCAGGGGTTTTGAGAACAGAATCATTTGACAGTTATTTGAAATATTTGTAGGATCTGTGTGACTCGGGATCTTCACAATACGACTGAGTGTCTTTATAGGACTTGCGACAGTCGTAGTGTCTGTTATAGGACTTGCGACAGTCGTAGTGTCTGTTATAGGACTTGTGACAGTCGTAGTGTCTGTTATAGGACTTGCGACAGTCGTAATGCGGAGATGGCGGAGTGGAACCTGTTGGAGTCTCAGATCAGTGGCATGTGTCATATCTCTGATAGGGGTGGGGCGGTCGGTAGCCTAGTGGTTAAAGCGATCGCTCGTCACGCCGAAGACCCAGGTTCGATTCCCGACAGCCCATTTCTGATATTGCTGGAATATTGCTAAAAGCGGTGTAAAACCATACTCACTCACTCACTCTGATAGGGGTGAGATATATATGGGATGAAGGGGAGATATGACGGATAAGGGGGAGATATGACGGATGAAGGGGGAG